ACAACTGTCATTGACTCGCTCTTCTTCTTTCGTTTTGACCATTTCATGTTAATTGCAAAGGCAAAACGCCAAAAGTTTAGTTACCGTCGCTAGGCAACGACTGCGTAAGCGATAGTAAAGCAGAAGCCGAATAACGGAGCTACGCATATTCTGCTTCGCATTGCGGGCAGATGTATGTATGTAAATGATTTGTTCTTATTGATCTCAATAAATAATTCGATTTTATTATTTAAATATTCTGCTTATTGCATTCAAACTTCGATATTTTTATGGTATCGGTGGCTTCAACTATCGAGAGTTTTACTCTAGCAAATTGAGATGAGAATTGTCAGTGCTTTTTGATTGTGGCTCATCGCTGCACGGCATTGACACGAGTGCCGTGTTTCATATTCCGAGTTTGTGCGTGACCGTATTGACTCAATATGGCACGAAAAGACTCAAATGTGAATGTAAAATTAGGATATACCCTTATAATTTTCCCCTTTTTTGAAAGATGGTGCCCCCCCCTCGCAGCTATTGAGAGCCCTAGTCGGCAATAGCTGCGATAACAAAATAGGCACGATCCTAGGTGGAGACGCCAATGCTCACCATACTCAATGGGGCAGCAGTGACATCAATGATAGAGGTGAGTCAGTATACGACTATATAATGAGTAGCAACCTTCTAGTCTGTAACATAGGGAGCGACCCCACATTTGTAACAAAAAACCGCAGCGAGGTGTTAGACGTCACAATGGCGTCTGATTTTCTCGCACGCAGAGTCCTTGCCTGGAGGGTCCTTAATGATCACTCATTCTCAGACCACAGGCTCATACACTTCAGGCTGGGGTACCACACCCCTGCCGCCATTAAGAACTTCAATCTGAAAAAAACCATTTGGGGGTATTATTTGAGATTGCTTATCAGAAAACTACCCCCCTACAAAGCTCTGAACCCAATACGGGAGAGAAATTGGACAAGTTGGTGGATACCTTCACAAAAACCTGCTCGGGTGCGCTCAAGAAAGCCTGCCCAAGTACAGTTTATAAAGAAAAATGCAAACCGCCCTGGTGGTCTACTGAATTGGATGGTCTTCGGGTCGAATGTCGAAGACAATTCAACGAGGCAAGAAGAAGTAGCACAGAGCCCAGTTGGGTACTGTATAAGCGCAAACAAAAGAGCCAAGCGCACCTCTTGGGCCAACTTCTGCTCAAGCATTGAGTCAACGTCTGCAGCATCGAGGCTCAGAAAAGTGCTGGCCAAATCATCCTCTCCACCAACTCTTCTGCAAGGGGAAGACGGCAGGTGGCTGGACTCCTGCAGAGACTCTCTAGATCTGCTCACTAATACACATTTCCCGGGCTGTACCGACAGTAGTAGTACACCCCTTATCCCCCACGTAACGGGGGTACCCAGCCATTTGATAGAAGATATCATTACCGAAGAACGCATCTGCTGGGCTGTTAAGACTTTTCAGCCCTACAAATCTCCTGGACCGGACGGCATCGTCCCGGCCCAACTCCAACATTCTCTGCGACACGTTATGCCCTGGATTCTGACAATTTTTAGAAGTTGTTTAAGAGTCAACCACATTCCGGCAAGCTGGAGAGAGGTAAGGGAGGTGTTTATTCCCAAGGACGGGAAACCGTCTCACGTTACGCCGAAAGACTTCAGGCCTATCAGCCTATCCTCGTTTCTACTTAAAACCTTGGAAAGGCTAATAGAAACATACCTAAGACAGTCTATCAATCCGGATCTGCTGTCGAACTCACAACACGCATACAGTAAGGGCAGGTCAACTGACACTGCCCTTCACTCCCTGGTCTCTAGAATAGAGAACTCACTCCACGTTAAGGAGTACTCACTGGTAGCCTTCTTGGACATTGAGGGCGCCTTCAACAATATATTACCGTCGGCAATCACCCAGTCGTTGACGGACCTTGGGGTAGATGTCTCCCTGGTAGGCTTTATCAGTCAGTTGCTCACTAGCAGGGTTGTAAGTGCCGAACTAGGGGGACAATCCTGCCGCAAGTTCGTTAGCAGGGGCACCCCACAGGGTGGAGTTCTGTCTCCGCTACTGTGGCTGCTGACGGTGAACCAGCTGCTGCGACGCATGGAGGTGGAAGGCCATGCAGTCATAGCCTACGCAGACGACGTATCAATAATCTGCAGTGGTAAATACCCACAGACTCTCTGTCACCTCATGAGGACGGCGCTATTGACGCTCTCGCAATGGGCGTCCACATGCGGCCTAGGAGTAAATCCTACAAAAACTGAGCTAGTACTTTTCACAAGAAAGTACATGATTCCGGAACTCCAGCCGCCCACACTAAAAGGAGTTCCTCTTAAATTCAGCCACAGTGCCAAGTACTTGGGAGTCATCCTGGACAGGAAACTGCACTGGAGTGACAACACAATAGAGCGGGTGAAGAAAGCCACAAATGCACTCTACATCTGCAAGAGAGCCATAACCACCAGATGGGGGTTCTCACCAAATATTGTACACTGGATATATACGGCCATCGTTAGACCGATTCTTCTGTACGGAATCGTAGTATGGTGGCCTGCGATGGACAAATCAACTGTTCTCACCCAACTCAGTAGGGTGCAGAGATCGGCAGAATTATGCATTAGCGGGGCACTTCGTACTACACCAACAGAGGCTCTTAATATATTCTTCCATCTTCTCCCACTAGACATAGTCGGCAAGGAACTTGCTACAAACTCAGCCCTAAGGCTAAGAGAGGCCTCTGCCTGGAAAAGCACGTCAAAAGGACATGCAGGCATACTCCTTCTTCAACCCGGGGTTCCGACCCATACGGATTACTGTGTACCAAAACTTATTTTTGATAAGAAATATGCAGTCAGGATTCCCGCTCGTGCAGAGTGGGATAGCCTACCACACAGAAGAAACGATGCCATAAACTTTTTCACGGATGGCTCTAAACTGGAACAGAGGGTCGGAGGTGGCATATTTTCTCCGGACCTGGAGATAGGACGGTCATTTCGTCTCACTGATCATTGCAGCGTCTACCAGGCGGAAGTGGCTGCGATACAAGAGGTCACAACGCACCTATCCCCTGATATGGAAGGCGGTAGACCAATATATATATATTCAGATAGCCAAGCGGCACTAAAAGCGTTAGACTCCAATGTGGACAACTCCAAAGTTATCACTGACTGTCGCAGATCCCTCAACGAGATGGCCCAACTAGTCAGTATCAGCCTTATATGGGTGCCAGGACACAATAATATTGAAGGTAATTGCATAGCAGGTGAGCTGGCAAGGGAAGGAACCAACGCAAACATCCTTCCCGATAGGGAAGGTATGGGAATGCCGTTAGCATCCTTTCGGCTTTTGACGCGCAACCATGCACGTCAAATAGCACAGCAGCGCTGGGAGAGCACGAGCTCGTGCGTTCGAGCTAAGCTTACCTGGCCATCCCTTAACATAAAAAGGACTTTAAAGCTTGTGAAGCTGAAAAGGAGTGAGATCTCCATGGTGGTGGGAACTCTCACGGGTCACTGTCCGTTTGGCAGACATGCATCGAGACTAAACATCCCGTTTAACGATTTCTGCAGAAGATGCAGAGACGAAGAGGAAAGTGTGGAGCATCTCCTCTGCCACTGCCCGGCGCTGAGCAGGCGCAGACTACGCACCCTAGGGAAGCCGTTCTTGAGCGACCTCTCGGAAATGAAAAATGTAGAGCTCGCGCATCTAGTTAAATTCTTAAATATCACCGGGTGGCTGAAGACTGACCAGCACAATTAGGGATTACATGGTATCACAACGGGCCTTAAGGCCTAAGTGGGCGGGTGAACGTTATCACCCCAGCCATTTCAACGTAACCTAACCTAACCTATCCTTTCATAGTATCCATCATAGTGTAGGAGCACACTAAGAAAGGCTTTTGAAAAGGGGGGAAAACGAGCTTTATAAAAAAATTAGTTATAGTGGTCATGTTCGTTTAACGAAATAGTTTGGCAAGAACAAAAATGTAACGGACTACTGAACAATTTTTTGTCAAGAACAGAAAATGTTCATTTAAATACCTTACATGCCTTCCTACTGGTAACTTATAAGGTGAAACCATATGGGTAGGTTATGCACACACAAAATAAATACAATTGGAAACATTATATTGAGCCGGGTTAAGACGGGCAATACCTGCTAGTTGTTTCATAAAATTGAATCTTAACTATGCCATACTGCCTCAATAAATGGATTTATTCGCCTTATATGTGTTTGGCTTGCTGAAACGAAATGGCTATATATGCGTACTTAAAAACGAAAAGAGACGAAAAATTAACCGGCCGATGCCCGAAGTTAGTATAGCCATGTATCACTTTTAACAACCATCCATGCTTTTAATACCCCGTACCAGAATTATAAAATCGTCTGAAAATAGTTATTAATGCAATTTTAAACTATAATCACAAAACAAAGATTGCAGCACTGTGGTCCAAACACATAAACAAATTTTAACAGGACCCAGTTGAGAAGCATGGCAGGAAGATTTAATAGCGCGACTTTGCAATCAACCAGAAATAATAATAATCAATATTACTATTAGATCACATTTTATTAATGTTGAAAAAATCGCAATACTTACAGAAATGCTTGGTAGCTGTGAGTGGTCGGTATTCAATTTTTACCCTCCCCCACGGGACACCCAAGGAGACAAAAACTTTTTTAGTTGTATTTATTTTTCTCTGCTTTATTTTCTTCCAATTTGATCGCACGACGCGTTTTTTTTTTTCATTATTATTAATTTTTGTTTCAAGGTCCTGGCTAAAAAATATTTTGCTTTTAGTGTTTGCTCGCTAGTTAAAAAATATTTTTTAGAGGAAGCAGAAATTATCTGGCATTCAGTTAATGATCAGCACTAAACCTTTTTACAGAAAGCGTATATTAACTATACTTCAACTGAGTAATAGATTTAAAAACGTGCCCTTTTTACATATGATGACAAATAGAAATTTAGAATGGGCAAATGCATGAAGAAAAAAAAACAAAAAATTACTAAAAACAGTATTTGTATTTCTATTCAAATGGACTTAATGGTCAGTTTCGCTCGGATGTGTGCTGGACTTGCTTCTAGTGAGTTCATATTGATTAGGAAGCCGCTGCCGGTTCTTTTGTGTGGATTTGCTGTCTACCGTGTGTGTCTTTCTTTGTGTATACATGTGTAGGTTCCTCCCTGATTTTTACTTTTTAAACTGTTTGGTTAACAAAAACTTAGAGATCTTCATCCTCATCAGGTAAAGCAGTTTCCTGTGCTTCCTGTAAGTCGCGTTCAATTTGCAACTGCCAGTCTTTGTCCATTTTGACCTCGGGAGGCAACAGGGCCGGCATTGCAACGAATTCTAAATTGGGATCGCCAACCAACTTACGTGCAAGCCAAAGGAATGGTTTCTCGAAGTTATAGTTCGACTTTGCAGAGATGTCATAATACTGGAATAGCAGAAGAAAGTACTTATTGTAAGAAAAGTACGAGTCACTGTAAACTAATAGAAACATAAGCAATCAGGCTATTAAAAAATATGTACATAAATATATTAATTTCTAGATTCACAGGCTTATGATTTCGAAAATCGTATAATCAAGTAAGTGAAAAGTCCGGTTTCCTAACTTTAAAATACGCTGTATCTATGTGTTAATTTATATAAAATTAAAACAAAATTAAAATGAAATTACACCAGTCTGTCTATGTAGCTTAAACGACTCTTCTTGCATGTTGATCAAAAATATATAGAATTTCGGAGTTTAGAAGGAGGCATCGTTCTGCCTGTTACATTTTTCACTTTGCACAAACAATATATATTTTGTACATTTAATTTACAACACTCACCTGCAAATTCTTCTTTCGGTGGAACACAATGCTTTTTGCCTTGACTTTGCGGTCTTTAATGTCCACTTTATTACCACCAGAGTGAGAATGAGTGCATACTCGTATTTCCATACATAAATTGTTGCTAAGGTGAGCAAAACTTTATTTCTTCAAACGTAGTAAGATTAAAATTGTTGTGATAAGTGAAAAGGTTTAACCGTTGAATGAGATAAAATGGTATAAAGTAAATTATACAAATTGCAGTTTCTACAATGGCAGCAAAAGAAAATAAACAATATATGTAAGGAGTGCTGCTATGAAGCTTTAAGAGCCACTAAATAGTCAAAAATTACCATATACAAAGTGTTGATTACAAAACTGCTCTGATTATAAATGCCACCAAATGAATTTCCATTTTATTTTAATACATATGTTCTTTTTTTTACTTTTTAAAACTTTTGCCATTTGAATAAACCCCTCATTTTGTATGAATATACATGGCTCATTTAACGCGATTTCGTTTAACACGACGTTTTCAAGGAACGTAACCACCGCGTTAAGCGATGGCTAGGTGTACTTTGTGGGGTTGGCCACACCTCCTTCTGCTTGTAACATTTTTTAGCTCGTGCAAACCTAATATACTCTTGTACATTTCATGTACATCATTGTTTCATAAAATTGAATCTTAACTATGCCATACTGCCTCAATAAATGGATTTATTCGCCTTATATGTGTTTGGCTTGCTGAAACGAAATGGCTATATATGAGTACTTAAAAACGAAAAGAGACGAAAAATTAACCGGCCGATGCCCGAAGTTAGTATAGCCATGTAACACTTTTAACAACCATCCATGCTTTTAATACCCCGTACCAGAATTATAAAATCGTCTGAAAATAGTTATTAATGCAATTATAAACTATTATCACAAATTCTTCACGCAAAGAAATATCTCATCAAATTTCGAAACACCCGGGTCGCAAGATAATGCGAATGGCTATTTTGGGTCCCCGTAGGAGACCTGTAGAATTTCGGCATCAAAACGATGCAACGCTCAAACCCATGTTGATTGGATGCTCAATTAATTAAATATATAGTATGGACTGATGAGCTAAGGATTGACCGACTTGTCCCTGATGGTAGAAAATATATGCGAAGGCAAAAGGAGGTAGAACTTAATCCAAAATGTGTGGTACTGTGGTCAAGTATGGTCGAGGCAAAATAAATGTTTGGAATAGTTTGTCATGGAATGGAGTTGGTATCATATTCCGCATCGAGAGAATTTTCTACAACGGATAAGTTGATATATTGAGGGATGTCTTGATAGCATAGGTAAATGAAAGAATTCTGGCTGATTAATATTATATGTCAATGTTGCGGTGCACACTAAGAATTATATTTAACAAATTAAGAAAAACACAACACATTTGTTTTCAATTAGTTGTCAACAGCTGTACACTCATATGACATTTCTGCTATCAAATCTTTAAAATCTTCATACTGTCCTGGAGCAGACAACATTCCTAGTTGTGTTCTCAAGGAGTGTTCTAGTTCCCTATTACAGCCATTACTTAAAATCTTTAACCTGTCACTTGGTTCCTCAATCTTTCCAACTATTTAGAGAGAATCTTTTATTATTACTCTTCATAAAAAGGGTGGAAAGTCTGATATTTCAAACTACAAAGGAATTGCAAAGTTGTCTGCCATACCAAAATTATTTGAAAAAATAGTTTGCAGCATTTTGCAGCACCTCTGTAAATCTGTCATATCTCCAGCTCAACATGGATTCATGAAGAGACGGTCTACTACGACCAATTTGCTGGAATTTACTCCTTTGGTAAATGAAGCATTTACTCTAAAAATGCAGACTGATGTCGTTTACACTGACTTCAGTAAAGCATTTGACTCTGTGAACCATGATCTTCTGCTCTTTAAGCTAAGTCGTATAGTCCCTCCGCTTTTTTGTGTTGGATTTCGTCTTATCTAAAAGACAGATCCCAACGGATCTTGCTTAGGTCGCACATTTCTAAGCCCGTGTTTGCATCATCAGGTGTGCCTCAAGGTAGCCATCTTGGCCCCTTACTTTTTACATTATTTATTATGAGCTCCCCTCTACCTTGTCACACTCTCATATTCTTATGTATGCTGATGATGTGAAACTTATTCTGACTTACAAAGACCCTTCTCATTTTCATCGCCTGCAGGATGATCTGAACTGCATGCAATCTTGGTGCTTAGCTAACCACTTGCACCTCAATTGCTCTAAATGTAAGTTCATGACATTTCACCGAACCTTGCCTTATTTAGGGACGTATACGATTGACAATGTGCCATTGCAACGTATATCGACTGTTGAAGACCTTGGGGTTCTTTTTGATTCCAAATTGAACTTCAACCTTCACATATCTAGTATGGTTAATAAGGCTAAGGGTTTACTTGGATTCATTAAACGTTGGTCCAAGGAATTCAATGACCCATATACCACTAAGCTTCTTTACACTGCACTAGTACGCCCTGTGCTTGAATACTGCTCATGCGTTTGCTGTCCGCAGTATAGAAAGCAACAGGAACGTATTGAGTCTGTTCAGAAGCAATTCCTTCTTTTTGCTCTACGTGGTTTAAGCTGGGATCCCAATCTCCGCTTGCCATCGTACTCTAGCAGGCTGATGCTTATAAACCTTCCTTCCTTAGTACATCGTAGGCCAGATGCACAACCGATTACGCTTTGCACAATCGTTTTCGGGCCATGTGCAGACATAATAACGATCTTTCACATTTACTTTCGACAGGGCTCTCTCTCTGTTCTATCAAATCTATTCTTTATAATTATCTTCGGGGAAATCTCTGACCACATACTGCTGTGAGTTGGGGCATAGCTTGCCGGACTGGTATTTAAAATTTCCCCCACCGGGTTGGAGACTTGCCTCTTTTTCTTTTCGTCTCTCTTTCTACCTTTCTCTTTTTCTGTTCCTTTGTCTCTCTTTCCTTCTTTCTTTTTCTCTTTCTCGTTCTACTCCGTACTTTTTCTAATTAGTTGTTAAATAGAATTAATTTTCACCTTTATCTACTTCTTGCATAGTTTTTTAGGTCTTTAATGTCTCTGACCGCATATGGCTGTGAATCGGCGCATAGCTGGCCAATTGGCAAATAAAATTCCCCCAACGTGTCGGAGGCATTAATAGACGTCATTGTACAGCTTTGTGTTAGGCTTTCTTATCTTTTATTTTGTTTAGTTTAATTTGTTACATTAAGTTTTATAATACAAGTATAATCGACGGTAGTGTTGTTGATATTTTGAATAAAATAAAATAAAAAAATAAATTGTTCTCTAAATTGCTCAATATACAATCAATACATACATGAGTCGGGGCTCAAAGATTGCAGCACTGTGGTCCAAACACATAAACAAATTTTAACAGGACCCAGTTGAGAAGCATGGCAGGAAGATTTAATAGCGCGATTTTGCAATCAACCAGAAACACTTCTTGTACCTGAATAATCAATATTACTATTAGATCACATTTTATTAATGTTGAAAAAATCGCAATACTTACAGAAATGCTTGGTAGCTGTGAGTGGTCGGTATTCAATTTTTACCCTCCCCCACGGGACACCCAAGGAGACAAAAACTTTTTTAGTTGTATTTATTTTTCTCTGCTTTATTTTCTTCCAATTTGATCGCACGACGCGTTTTTTTTTTTTCATTATTATTAATTTTTGTTTCAAGGTCCTGGCTAAAAAATATTTTGCTTTTAGTGTTTGCTCGCTAGTTAAAAAATATTTTTTAGAGGAAGCAGAAATTATCTGGCATTCAGTTAATGATCAGCACTAAACCTTTTTACAGAAAGCGTATATTAACTATACTTCAACTGAGTAATAGATTTAAAAACGTGCCCTTTTTACATATGATGACAAATAGAAATTTAGAATGGGCAAATGCATGAAGAAAAAAAAAACAAAAAATAACTAAAAACAGTATTTGTATTTCTATTCAAATGGACTTAATGGTCAGTTTCGCTCGGATGTGTGCTGGACTTGCTTCTAGTGAGTTCATATTGATTAGGAAGCCGCTGCCGGTTCTTTTGTGTGGATTTGCTGTCTACCGTGTGTGTCTTTCTTTGTGTATACATGTGTAGGTTCCTCCCTGATTTTTACTTTTTAAACTGTTTGGTTAACAAAAACTTAGAGATCTTCATCCTCATCAGGTAAAGCAGTTTCCTGTGCTTCCTGTAAGTCGCGTTCAATTTGCAACTGCCAGTCTTTGTCCATTTTGACCTCGGGAGGCAACAGGGCCGGCATTGCAACGAATTCTAAATTGGGATCGCCAACCAACTTACGTGCAAGCCAAAGGAATGGTTTCTCGAAGTTATAGTTCGACTTTGCAGAGATGTCATAATACTGGAATAGCAGAAGAAAGTACTTATTGTAAGAAAAGTACGAGTCACTGTAAACTAATAGAAACATAAGCAATCAGGCTATTAAAAAATATGTACATAAATATATTAATTTCTAGATTCACAGGCTTATGATTTCGAAAATCGTATAATCAAGTAAGTGAAAAGTCCGGTTTCCTAACTTTAAAATACGCTGTATCTATGTGTTAATTTATATAAAATTAAAACAAAATTAAAATGAAATTACATCAGTCTGTCTATGTAGCTTAAACGACTCTTCTTGCATGTTGATCAAAAATATATAGAATTTCGGAGTTTAGAAGGAGGCATCGTTCTGCCTGTTACATTTTTCACTTTGCACAAACAATATATATTTTGTACATTTAATTTACAACACTCACCTGCAAATTCTTCTTCCGGTGGAACACAATGCTTTTTGCCTTGACTTTGCGGTCTTTAATGTCCACTTTATTACCACCAGAGTGAGAATGAGTGCATACTCGTATTTCCATACATAAATTGTTGCTAAGGTGAGCAAAACTTTATTTCTTCAAACGTAGTAAGATTAAAATTGTTGTGATAAGTGAAAAGGTTTAACCGTTGAATGAGATAAAATGGTATAAAGTAAATTATACAAATTGCAGTTTCTACAATGGCAGCAAAAGAAAATAAACAATATATGTAAGGAGTGCTGCTATGAAGCTTTAAGAGCCACTAAATAGTCAAAAATTACCATATACAAAGTGTTGATTACAAAACTGCTCTGATTATAAATGCCACCAAATGAATTTCCATTTTATTTTAATACATATGTTCTTTTTTTTACTTTTTAAAACTTTTGCCATTTGAATAAACCCCTCATTTTGTATGAATATACATGGCTCATTTAACGCGATTTCGTTTAACACGACGTTTTCAAGGAACGTAACCACCGCGTTAAGCGATGGCTAGGTGTACTTTGTGGGGTTGGCCACACCTCCTTCTGCTTGTAACATTTTTTAGCTCGTGCAAACCTAATATACTCTTGTACATTTCATGTACATCATTGTTTCATAAAATTGAATCTTAACTATGCCATACTGCCTCAATAAATGGATTTATTCGCCTTATATGTGTTTGGCTTGCTGAAACGAAATGGCTATATATGAGTACTTAAAAACGAAAAGAGACGAAAAATTAACCGGCCGATGCCCGAAGTTAGTATAGCCATGTAACACTTTTAACAACCATCCATGCTTTTAATACCCCGTACCAGAATTATAAAATCGTCTGAAAATAGTTATTAATGCAATTATAAACTATTATCACAAATTCTTCACGCAAAGAAATATCTCATCAAATTTCGAAACACCCGGGTCGCAAGATAATGCGAATGGCTATTTTGGGTCCCCGTAGGAGACCTGTAGAATTTCGGCATCAAAACGATGCAACGCTCAAACCCATGTTGATTGGATGCTCAATTAATTAAATATATAGTATGGACTGATGAGCTAAGGATTGACCGACTTGTCCCTGATGGTAGAAAATATATGCGAAGGCAAAAGGAGGTAGAACTTAATCCAAAATGTGTGGTACTGTGGTCAAGTATGGTCGAGGCAAAATAAATGTTTGGAATAGTTTGTCATGGAATGGAGTTGGTATCATATTCCGCATCGAGAGAATTTTCTACAACGGATATGTTGATATATTGAGGGATGTCTTGATAGCATAGGTAAATGAAAGAATTCTGGCTGATTAATATTATATGTCAATGTTGCGGTGCACACTAAGAATTATATTTAACAAATTAAGAAAAACACAACACATTTGTTTTCAATTAGTTGTCAACAGCTGTACACTCATATGACATTTCTGCTATCAAATCTTTAAAATCTTCATACTGTCCTGGAGCAGACAACATTCCTAGTTGTGTTCTCAAGGAGTGTTCTAGTTCCCTATTACAGCCATTACTTAAAATCTTTAACCTGTCACTTGGTTCCTCAATCTTTCCAACTATTTAGAGAGAATCTTTTATTATTACTCTTCATAAAAAGGGTGGAAAGTCTGATATTTCAAACTACAAAGGAATTGCAAAGTTGTCTGCCATACCAAAATTATTTGAAACAAGTAAAAAAGCTAAAGTCGGGTGTCCCGACTTTGAAATACTCTGTACATATGCTTACAATAATTATAGAAAATAAAAAAATTAAGAAAATAAAAAAAAAATTTGATCGATTTTACCTCTCTCGGTATTCGAACTCACGTAAAGGGTGTATAATTGCACATTTACATAGCAATTGCGTCTGTGTGAGTGTATGTATGCCTATGCGCATCTATTCGTGTCTGTGTAAGCATTTTCGCAGTCAACCAAACAGCAACATCAACAACAGCCGCGGGCAGCGCTTGAGCAGCGCTGCATCAGCAAATATATTTATGGCTATAACTTCTTGTTAAATCGGTCTATCATAATGAAATTTGGCATACGGACACATAATAACCAACTGGGGGTATTTCCAAAATTTTAGTTCGAAATTCCAAGAATTACGGGAGTTACGATTTGCGGGGTAGAGGGGGGAGGGAGGGGAATTCCAAAATATACATTTTCTGCGTATTCACATAAGGCATCTGGGACTAAAATTTGGTGTTCCTAGGTCTTAAAGTCTCCGAGATATAGGCGATTATACGAATGGAAAATCGGGAAAACCCCCATAGGGGGGAAGTGGGGGGGAAAATCAAAAAAATAAAACAAACTCGTATAGAATACACACATAACGCATCTTTGTGCAAAATTTGGTGTCTCTATCTCTTATAGTCTCTGAGATCCAGGTGTTCATACGGACGGACAGACGGACAGACAGACAGACAGGGCTAGATCGACTCGTCTCGTCATGCTGATCAAGAATATATATACTTTGTGGGGTCTGCCACGCCTCCTTCTGCCTGTTACATTTTTCAGCTCCCGCAAACCTAATATACTCTTGTACATTTCATGTACAGAGTATAAAAATAGTTTGCAGCATTTTGCAGCACCTCTGTAAATCTGTCATATCTCCAGCTCAACATGGATTCATGAAGAGACGGTCTACTACGACCAATTTGCTGGAATTTACTCCTTTGGTAAATGAAGCATTTACTCTAAAAATGCAGACTGATGTCGTTTACACTGACTTCAGTAAAGCATTTGACTCTGTGAACCATGATCTTCTGCTCTTTATTGGATTTCGTCTTATCTAAAAGACAGATCCCAACGGATCTTGCTTAGGTCGCACATTTCTAAGCCCGTGTTTGCATCATCAGGTGTGCCTCAAGGTAGCCATCTTGGCCCCTTACTTTTTACATTATTTATTATGAGCTCCCCTCTACCTTGTCACACTCTCATATTCTTATGTATGCTGATGATGTGAAACTTATTCTGACTTACAAAGACCCTTCTCATTTTCATCGCCTGCAGGATGATCTGAACTGCATGCAATCTTGGTGCTTAGCTAACCACTTGCACCTCAATTGCTCTAAATGTAAGTTCATGACATTTCACCGAACCTTGCCTTATTTAGGGACGTATACGATTGACAATGTGCCATTGCAACGTATATCGACTGTTGAAGACCTTGGGGTTCTTTTTGATTCCAAATTGAACTTCAACCTTCACATATCTAGTATTGTTAATAAGGCTAAGGGTTTACTTGGATTCATTAAACGTTGGTCCAAGGAATTCAATGACCCATATACCACTAAGCTTCTTTACACTGCACTAGTACGCCCTGTGCTTGAATACTGCTCATGCGTTTGCTGTCCGCAGTATAGAAAGCAACAGGAACGTATTGAGTCTGTTCAGAAGCAATTCCTTCTTTTTGCTCTACGTGGTTTAAGCTGGGATCCCAATCTCTGCTTGCCATCGTACTCTAGCAGGCTGATGCTTATAAACCTTCCTTCCTTAGTACATCGTAGGCCAGATGCACAACCGATTACGCTTTGCACAATCGTTTTCGGGCCATGTGCAGACATAATAACGATCTTTCACATTTACTTTCGACAGGGCTCTCTCTCTGTTCTATCAAATCTATTCTTTATAATTATCTTCGGGGAAATCTCTGACCACATACTGCTGTGAGTTGGGGCATAGCTTGCCGGACTGGTATTTAAAATTTCCCCCACCGGGTTGGAGACTTGCCTCTTTTTCTTTTCGTCTCTCTTTCTACCTTTCTCTTTTTCTGTTCCTTTGTCTCTCTTTCCTTCTTTCTTTTTCTCTTTCTCGTTCTACTCCGTACTTTTTCTAATTAGTTGTTAAATAGAATTAATTTTCACCTTTATCTACTTCTTGCATAGTTTTTTAGGTCTTTAATGTCTCTGACCGCATATGGCTGTGAATCGGCGCATAGCTGGCCAATTGGCAAATAAAATTCCCCCAACGTGTCGGAGGCATTAATAGACGTCATTGTACAGCTTTGTGTTAGGCTTTCTTATCTTTTATTTTGTTTAGTTTAATTTGTTACATTAAGTTTTATAATACAAGTATAATCGACGGTAGTGTTGTTGATATTTTGAATAAAATAAAATAAAAAAATAAATTGTTCTCTAAATTGCTCAATATACAATCAATACATACATGAGTCGGGGCTCAAAGATTGCAGCACTGTGGTCCAAACACATAAACAAATTTTAACAGGACCCAGTTGAGAAGCATGGCAGGAAGATTTAATAGCGCGATTTTGCAATCAACCAGAAACACTTCTTGTACCTGAATAATCAATATTACTATTAGATCACATTTTATTAATGTTGAAAAAATCGCAATACTTACAGAAATGCTTGGTAGCTGTGAGTGGTCGGTATTCAATTTTTACCCTCCCCCACGGGACACCCAAGGAGACAAAAACTTTTTTAGTTGTATTTATTTTTCTCTGCTTTATTTTCTTCCAATTTGATCGCACGACGCGTTTTTTTTTTTTCATTATTATTAATTTTTGTTTCAAGGTCCTGGCTAAAAAATATTTTGCTTTTAGTGTTTGCTCGCTAGTTAAAAAATATTTTTTAGAGGAAGCAGAAATTATCTGGCATTCAGTTAATGATCAGCACTAAACCTTTTTACAGAAAGCGTATATTAACTATACTTCAACTGAGTAATAGATTTAAAAACGTGCCCTTTTTACATATGATGACAAATAGAAATTTAGAATGGGCAAATGCATGAAGAAAAAAAAACAAAAAATAACTAAAAACAGTATTTGTATTTCTATTCAAATGGACTTAATGGTCAGTTTCGCTCGGATGTGTGCTGGACTTGCTTCTAGTGAGTTCATATTGATTAGGAAGCCGCTGCCGGTTCTTTTGTGTGGATTTGCTGTCTACCGTGTGTGTCTTTCTTTGTGTATACATGTGTAGGTTCCTCCCTGATTTTTACTTTTTAAACTGTTTGGTTAACAAAAACTTAGAGATCTTCATCCTCATCAGGTAAAGCAGTTTCCTGTGCTTCCTGTAAGTCGCGTTCAATTTGCAACTGCCAGTCTTTGTCCATTTTGACCTCGGGAGGCAACAGGGCCGGCATTGCAACGAATTCTAAATTGGGATCGCCAACCAACTTACGTGCAAGCCAAAGGAATGGTTTCTCGAAGTTATAGTTCGACTTTGCAGAGATGTCATAATACTGGAATAGCAGAAGAAAGTACTTATTGTAAGAAAAGTACGAGTCACTGTAAACTAATAGAAACATAAGCAATCAGGCTATTAAAAAATATGTACATAAATATATTAATTTCTAGATTCACAGGCTTATGATTTCGAAAATCGTATAATCAAGTAAGTGAAAAGTCCGGTTTCCTAACTTTAAAATACGCTGTATCTATGTGTTAATTTATATAAAATTAAAACAAAATTAAAATGAAATTACACCAGTCTGTCTATGTAGCTTAAACGACTCTTCTTGCATGTTGATCAAAAATATATAGAATTTCGGAGTTTAGAAGGAGGCATCGTTCTGCCTGTTACATTTTTCACTTTGCACAAACAATATATATTTTGTACATTTAATTTACAACACTCACCTGCAAATTCTTCTTTCGGTGGAACACAATGCTTTTTGCCTTGACTTTGCGGTCCTTAATGTCCACCTTATTGCCGCAGAGCACTATTGGTATGTTCTCGCAGACGCGCACCAGATCACGATGCCAGTTGGGCACGTTTTTGTATGTGACGCGAGATGTCACATCGAACATGATGACGGCGCACTGACCCTGAATGTAATAACCGTCACGTAGGCCCCCGAATTTCTCTTGACCGGCTGTATCCCAGACATTAAAGCGTATAGCGCCGCGATTGGTGTGGAATATCAACGGGTGCACCTCCACGCCCAGTGTGGCAACGTATTTCTTCTCGAATTCGCCGGTCACGTGGCGTTTGACGAATGTGGTTTTGCCAGTGCCGCCATCGCCGACAAGTACGCACTTGAAAGTGGGCATATCCTGACCATCCATAGCCATCTTGAAGTTGTTTCTCGTTTAAATTGGCTGCTGTTTGTTACTTTTCAGAAAATGGTCTTTGTGTGAAAAATAGGAGAACATGATTATATTAGTCGTACTTTCAAATTGAAGTTGTATATTTATTTAGTGATGTTAAATGTTGCGGATACTAGCAAAAATGTGACTGCGAGCACTCTTAAATAAAACGTACCTCGTTGACAACGACAAACGTTAAACGCGCCAAAGTAAGGAACACAGGGAATCAAAGAACAACAGCTGTTGTTGCCAAGTGGCGGAAGTTTGTTTCGTACACGGCGGGAAGAGAGCAAGAAAATGCAGCTGCTGTGGCAAGCGCAGGTAGCATGCAACGGCGCTGATATGAAAGGCTGTGGCTGCTGGAACTGCTGTTAATATAATACGAAAGGCATTACAAATGGACGGAATGAGATATTTCAGAGACCCAAATTGTCCAACATTGAGATGAATCACAAGAAATGACCGCGCCAGTTACTGTTACCGATGCTTGTATGTATGAACGTGCATATGTATATAGATACATACATATGTCTGTTTATGAGTTTTGGGAAAAGTGTGAGTGAGCTAACAAGAGAGCACACGCACAGCCGCTGTTAGCTACATAAAACTCAAACCGCGCCAAAATACCAGCCAACTATCACGCAAAGAATACATCCAAACCAAATGTATTGGTCGAAAATAATATTATTGAAAATCAATTACGAAATGCAAACTTTTGGTATTTAGTGAGCAAGCCAGCCCTTACGGAAGTGCACGCACATTCAAACAAAAGTCCTGAACAGATACACGCGCCTGAAAAATGACGCAAATTTATGCAATTCATGTTTAACCTCAAAAAATTTGTTGCGACCTCGAATTGCAAACAATGTACACTTAAACACAAAATCCAAAAATGTGTAAGTCGCCGAAGCGTTTATATACATTAAAGCCAACGCAACGAATTTGTTGTTAACACGCGGAAGCGACCTACGCCGGTCGCGTGTGTCGACACCAAAAATTTCTTCATGAATTGCACCGCCATCTCGACGGCATTCATCGAAGGGATTGGAAATGCAGTATTGTCGCTTCAGCACTAGCATTGCGATATTAGCGCTGACAAGCTCGTTCAACAATCAGTCTACAAATTAATATTACTTACATTTCCTTCTGCGCTTGGTGGCAATTAAAATAAATATGTATGTTTTCACACGCACGCACGACGGTCTTCGAAAATCTAATGTACAATTCTCAACCTCTGTTGCATCTAGACTTAGGGATGGGCATCGATATGGCAATATCGATATAATATCGATTTGATGATGGAAAATTTAAGTAAAATCCGATATGATATTCAATGCGGTGGTATATATCGAATGCATCGATTTTTATTACGATATATCTTCTCATCTCTTACATTATTTTCCCCGCTTTTTATGTATGTACTTCGTGAAGCTTTTTTGATTGCGTACTTCAAATTATGCCAAAGTATGTACATTTTAAACCTTTTTGTATATACTTAAGTATTTATTGATACTTTTTTGTTGGTTTCTTACAGAATCACCCAAAAGCAAGCCAAATTTTTCACAAAAATTGATTCGGCGCAACTTTTGCAAAAAATAGTGAAAACGGCTGGTAACACAACCAACCTAAACGCACATGTGAAAACGAATCACAAAGGCGAAACGATTGAATGTGCAGCCTACAATTGAAAAAAGTTTTTCTGCGGTACTGCCTAACAGGTTGCAAAAAAATTTTGGATAATGAACAAAACATTCCAAGATACATCAGCTAAATGGAAATCCTATTTAAATGGTAAGAAAGTAACCCTTACTACTGACATATGGACGGAAACAATAAATGTGAAAAGTTTTTTGGGAGTTACGGTCCACTTTGAAAGAGATTTGGAGCTCGTTTCCATTAATATTGGTGTGACCGAAATAACAGAGCAGCATACAGCTGCAAATATATTTGTTTGCGTAGAGTGGGGCATTCAGCTCCATAATGTTACGGCTGTGGTGACAGACAACGTAACAAACATGACAAAAGCTTTGGGTGACCTTTTCGGGAAGCAAATGCACTTGCCCTGCGTAGCGCACACGCTCAACCTTGTAGCAAAATGTGCATTGAGTATTGAATCTGTCAAGCCAATAATTACAAATGCTCAACGCTATTGAGTTGACAACAGCAGAAAAACGTTTTGCTCTTGCTACGCCCACTGGAATCCGCCACAGGGACCCGAAAAGTCGGTCAGAACTACTGTACTGCCAGTTTAGTAATCCCGATAATCAATAAAATGCAGGACGACATTGATAACTTAATTTTAGCAGACCAAATAGCACAGCAATGTCGTCGGACTATACTGTTGGAAATCCAAAAGCGATTTGGACAAATGGAGCAGGTAAATAAAAACTTCTTAAAAAACACTCGGCTTCGACTTTCTTATAAATCTGATTTCGAAATGAAATAAGAAAATGTTTAAAAGTATAATGTCTGAATTTCAGGTCTCAATATTGACAACGGCTACAATTTTGGATCCGCGCTTCAAAAAGTATTTTTTTAAAAACAAGCTTGTCGTAGCTGCAGCTATAAAAAAAAGCTGCCAAGTACGGGATTCTTGGATAATACCAGTAACATTGACCTTTTGGATGCTGAATCATATGAAGACGTTGTTGGGGGTGATCCAAGAACTTTTTGGAAAATGTTAACTACGCTACAGAAACAACAAACTCCAAGCATGAATGGTAGGGACGAAGTGCCGCATTATCTCGCTTCACCATTGGCGGACCATAAATGTAATTCCTTAAAAATATGGAAATTTGATAAGGATACATATCCAAGCCTTTTCAAACTGGCCTGTGAGTTTTTGCCTATTGTCGTCACTTCCGTACCGTGTAACCCCGATCCGAAACCGCTTAAGCCCCGAAAAGCTATCACAAGCACTTTTCCTTGGCAGCTTGCCGAAAAGTGATTGGAAATTTTAATTTCACCTTTTAACCTAAAATGCATAAATGGATATGCGGGATATTTGTGTTTCAAAATTTATTAAATTTGACTGCACCGAAGTGAAAATAGTTCCTTCTTATAGCCTGGGACCAAAAGGTAAAAGGCTATACTAGTTTGAATTTGATCTCTACTGAAATTTTTTCATTACAAATATTTTATGTTCCTTATTATTTTTGTAATTTAATCAAATAATTAATTTGTTAAACTTTTGCCTTCATTTATATACATATATACATTTGTTTTTACTATAAACACCTAACATTTGTTGCTAAAACAACATATTTATTAAAAATATCTTTTATTTCATCATTTAAAAAAATTTAGCTGTTCAATATCGATATTTATATATTCATGCGAAATCGCCGATATTTGACATTTTCCATATGATATCCTAGAAGGTTTTTTGTCCGATATAAATATCGGCATTTTCTTGTCGATATCCATCCCTAACCTAGACCGCTAACCACACAATATATGTTACCTAGACTGTCGTAAAACTTTCGATAGGGCTGATTCATCGATAGCACTATATTTAAATTTATGCGTAGATGATTCAAATTAATCTAAAAAAATATTAATCAGTATAATTAGAAATACAAGAAAACACATTTTCGAAAATATTATTGCTAGCTGCACCTATAAAAAGAAGTGATTTTGACAACTTAGCGACATGGCATAGGCATAGTATGTACAAACAGTAGCAGTAGCTGATTTTAATATGGCGGTCCTATCTGCTATCGATAGATCGCCTGGCAGTAAATACGATAAGTTGTCGAACAATGAGAGACATGTTTGGAATAAATTGTTACTATAAGTTTAAGCGCAAAATGATCATTGATTTTTTTTTAACTTCAATGAATCTAAGAATTCAACATCGATGAAGTTCTCAATTGCATTAAATAAACTTACAAGATAACTTCATTGTGTTATATTGATAATCAGCAGTAAGCCAAATTGAAGAAGACATAGCCCTGCGTTTTGTGTAGCCTAAATAAGTTTCGAGACCGATTTATTATCCAAATAAGGGTAAAAAAATAATAATAATATAAAATTTCTTCCGAATTCTTCTTATCCAAGCGGATAATAGTAAAATATTTAAATAACTGAAAAGTGAAACAAATTTTTATATAAGCTAAACAATTTTTTAAAAAATTGGATGATATATAATGGTGGTATGTTGTATATTTTTACAAAGCATAAATTTACTATTACAGTGAAAATTATAACTGTTCAATTTTTCTTCATTTTTTTGTAATTTAATTACATGGCGGCATTTTTTCTAGGTATGTGCCAAAAACCGATATTTAGAGTAATACAACATAGCCGACTTTCATCGAAACGTCGAACAAAATACATCTAGTTACAATCTAATCAGTCGCTTGTATGAAAATCGATGTGTCGATATTTATATACATACATCACTAACAGCATCCAGCAGCTGTGTCGTATCTGTCGCTATTAGCAATTTAATTTTAGTATAATCGAAGAATATCTAACAAGCAGTGGCATTGGACGTGTTTATTAGCACCGACGACCCAAAATCATTAATTATCATCCGATTGGTTTGTTATTAATAAAAATATGTCAACACGCCGGCAGGCCATCACATTATACCGTAATTTGTTACGTGAGGCTGAAAAGCTGCCTTCATACAATTTCAGGTGAATATTGTGAAATATGCAAAATTTTGCTATTTAGTGTACGAACAATAAAATATCTCACACCTACGTCATTGCAGAATGTACGCTGCCCGTAAAATACGAGACACATTCCGGGCCAACAGAACTATCAATGATTTTGAAGAAATCGATCGACAAGTGGCAAATGCAAAACAAAATCTCGACCTGATAAGAAGACAGGTAAAAACTTTTCCTTCGTTTATCAATGAAATGACTAGTAAATGCGCGTGACAGAATTCTGTAGTTACTTCAGCGCGGTATCTGCGCCTCCAAACTGTCGTCGCTTAGTATGAATACTTACCTACCACTTTATTTGGTTGCAGGTTATTATTGGCCATCTGTATACCGCGGACAAGCTAGTCATTGAACACAAGAAGACACTTCGCCCAGACTGCTGAGGCAAGATAACTTATTTATGAAGTGTCTGACCGCCGCCAGTTAAGAACATGTTGAGCAGAACCCTTTAGTATCACATTGTTCTGGTTCTATTTAGCTTTCTTTACCATTTTAATTTTTTGGAATTTTAGAATGTAAGGCAACCCACTTAGTCGTGAAATGGAAGTTGCTGCAGAAACACCAGTTTAATAGTATGTATAAAAGCACGTGAATTTATACACAAATAATCCTTACATAAAAAAGTACTTCTACTTGAAGTAAAAAATAAAAAGCAGTACAATCCAAACGCCTGGCAAAGACATGGGTTGTGTGGAATGTGCGTTTGCATTAGCGTCCGTTATGCCTGGTAAGTGCTAGCCGAGACATTACCACCTGTTCCAGTCCAGTTTGTGTGCACAAATTTGCCCTCTTGGCCGAGGAGCTCGTAGGTGTGGGCGCCAAAATAGTCACGCTGCGCCTGTAGCAAGTTCGCCGGTAGCTTAGCTGATCGATAACCATCGTAGAAAGACAATGCTGTGGAGAGCGCTGGCACAGGAATGCCCCAACAGAAGGCACTAGACACCACTGTGCGCCAAGAAGCCTGACCTTTCTCTATTGCGCACCGGAAGAAGTCGTCGAGCAATAGATTTGTTAGCGTCGGCTGACGTGTATACGCCTCCTTGATGTTGCCCAGGAACCCACTTTATAAAAGAACACTGATTATGGAAGCAAAAATAATCTTAGAACTAAGGACGCACCTTCTAATAATACATCCCCCGCGCCACATTAGTGCAATACCACCGTAGTTCAGCGTCCACTTGTTTTCTTTGGCTGCCTCACGCATCAACATAAATCCCTGGGCATAGCTAACAATTTTGGCACAGTACAGTGCCTGTTTGATGTCGTCGAGAAATTGTGCTTGGTTTACCACGGTCGCCTGCGTTTCCGGACCTTTTAGCCGGCGGCTAGCGAACATACGTTCGTCCTTCAGCACTGACAAGCAGCGCGCATAGACAGCTTCACCAATAAGTGTGACCGGAACACCATAGTGCAGAGCTGCAATGGCAGTCCACTTTCCAGTGCCCTTTTGGCCCGCACTGTCGCGTATGCGCTCTAGTAGATGGCCTTGGCTATCTTTGTAGTTCAGTATGTCGCGCGTAATCTCGATGAGAAACGAGTCCAGCTCCGCGGCATTCCATTTTTCAAACTCCTCAGCCATTTGAGGCGCACTGAGCCCAAGACTCTGCATAATATGATAAGCTTCGCATATTAACTGCATGTCTCCGTACTCGATACCATTGTGAACCATCTTAACAAAGTGTCCGGCGCCACCGTCGCCCACCCATTCGCAGCAGGGCTCACCATTCACCTTCGCACATATGGCCTGGAAGATTGGTTTGATCAATGGCCAGGCCGCCTCGTGCCCCCCAGGCATAAGCGAGGGACCGTGCCGCGCGCCTTCCTCGCCCCCGCTCACACCTGATCCAACATATAACAGGCCTAGCTTTGCTAGCTCGTTGCATCGTCTTGAAGTGTCCTGGTACTCGGAGTTTCCGCCATCGATGACAACATCGCCGGCCGAGAGCAGCGGCACTAGCTGGTGTATAAAGTCGTCAACAGCGGTGCCAGCTGAAAGGAATACAGGGTCGTTTTTTTTAGAAAGCTAATTTCAGGTTAGGTGTTTGCTACCTATGTAAACAAACAGCCTTGTCGCATAGTAGCTTAAGTAGATGACCTTGAAGTAGTGTCAGAGAGCTCGTTTGTTGAATTCGATTGTTGAATACAATATTCGCAAGCTTGAAGTATCATTTAATGGAGAAAATACATACATACATTCACATAGACGCAATTGCTATGTAAATGTGCAATTAACCCTTTACGTGAGTTCGAATACCGAGAGAGGTAAAATCGATCAACATTTTTTTTAATTTCTATAATTCTAAACATACATATGTACAGAGATTTAAAAGTCGGGACACCCGACTCTAGCTTTTTTACTTGTTATACTCTGTACATAAAATGTACAAGAGTTTGCGGGAGCTGAAAATGTAACATGCAGAAGGAGGCGTGGCAGACCCAACAAAGTATATATATTCTTGATCAGCATGACGAGACGAGTCGATCTAGCCCTGTCTGTCTGTCCGTATGAACACCTGGATCTCAGAGACTAGAAGAGCTAGAGACACCAAATTTTTCACAAAGATGCCTTATGTGTATACGATGTGCAATTTTGTTATATATTTTTTTGATTTTCCCCGCTATGGGCGTTTTCCCGATTTTCCATTCGTATTATCCCCTATATCTCGGAAACTATAAGACCTAGGAACACCAATGTGCCTTATGTGAATACGCAGAAAATGTGTATTTTGGAATTTCCGTTTCTCCCCCCTCTCCCATGCAAATCGTAACTCTCGTAATTCTTGGAACTCAAACTTGACAAATACCTCCATTTAGTTATTATAACTCCAAATGCCAAGTTTCATCATGATAGGCAGATTTAATAGGAAGTTATACCCATATATGTACATAAGACCAAGTAGTGCTTGCAGCTGTTGTTGTTGTTACTGCTATGCTCAGGCACACGAGACATACACAGACACACACAAATACACACATACACGCAGAGTACACATATGTACAGAGTATTTCAAAGTCGGGATACCCGACTTTAGCTTTACTTGTTATAGCCTGTACCCAAAGGGTGAAAGGCTATACTAGTTTTGTGCGCATGTATGTAACACACAGAAGGAGGCGTGGCAGACCCCACAAAGTATATATATTCTTGATCAGGATGAGAAGACGAGTCGATATAGCCATGTCCGTCTGTCTGTATGACCGCAAGGATCTCAGTAAGTACAAGAGCTAGGATATACAAGAGCAATACAATAGAGAACATAAACTGATTAAAACTAAAGATAAAAAAGCCTATAAAAATGACAAAAATATCTAATAACGAATCCGGCACGGTGGTGGAATTTTATTTACCAGACGGCCAGTTATGCCCCGATTCACAGCAGAGAGTAGTCAGATACGTTATTAGACCTATCAAAAAAGTGGAGATGAAAAAATATAGCAATAAACGATAGAAGAAAACAAATTAAAATACTTAAATAATAAAATATATTTTAAAACAAGATAGAACGCTACAGTCGAGCAAGCCCGACAGTAAAATAGCCTGTACTCTCCACAAACAAGAAAAATTAAAAAAAAAAAATGAAATTATTAAAAAACTGAATGAATGAATTAATTAAATTAAATTAGAATACATGTTTATGTTCAGTTTTAACAGCATACATTTACATCACGTACCTATGCGTGTTTATATGCGTGTATGTATGCAGCACTAAGTTGAACCAAAGTAACAACAACAGCTGCGGGTAGCGCTGCAGGCAGCGCGTGAGCAGCGATTTTATTTATGGCTATAACTTTCCTCACAATTGACCTATCATGATGAAACTTGGCACACTGACACATTAGTACTAACTGGATGTACTTACCAAAATTGATTTCTAAATTCCAAGAATTGCGGAATTTATAAAAAAACAAGAGAGAACGCTACAGTCGAGCAAGCCCGACAGTAAAATAGCCTGTACTCTCCACAAAAAGGAAAAATTAAAAAAAAAAAAAATTTAAAAAAAATTAAATTATTAAAAAAATGAATGAATTAATTAATTAAAATAATTAATTAAATTAAATTAGAATACATGCTTATGTTCAGTTTAAACAGCATACATTTACATCACGTACCTATGCGTGCTTATATGCGTGTATGTATGCAGCACAAAGTTAAACCAAAGCAGCAACAACAAAAGCTGCGGGACCTATCATGATGAAATTTGGCACACGGACACATTAGTACTAACTGGATGTACCTACCAAAATTGATTTTTAAATTCCGAGAATTACGGAAGTTATAAGAAAAAATACGAATTGCGGGGGAGTGGGGGGGTGTATCAGAAAAAATAAACAAACTCGTTCTGCCTAGGGCTTATAGGAACCTTGATACCAATTTTGGTTATCCTAGCTCTTGTACTTACTGAGATCCTTGCGCTCATACAGACAGACGGACAGACGGACATGGCTATATCGACTCGTCTTCTCATCCTGATCAAGAATATATATACTTTGTGGGGTCTGCCACGCCTCCTTCTGTGTGTTACATACATGCGCACAAAACTAGTATAGCCTTTCACCCTTTGGGTACAGGCTATAAAAACAGGAATTACGAGGCGGGGGGGGGGGGGGGGGGGGGGGGGGTTGGGGGGGGCAACAGAATAAAAAAATTAACTTGACCTGCCTAGGACTTAGGGGAACCTCGATACCAAGTTTCGTTATTCTAGCTCTTGTACTTCCTGAGATCCTTGCGCTCATACAGACAGACGCACAGACAGACGGACGGACAGACGGACATGGCTATAAAAAAAAAACATTTTAAAAATTTCACTTTTCCATTTATTTATTTAATATTTTTTCGTACGAATGTCGCGTCACGTCAGATTGGAAATGCCCATATATATGTATATATAGCTATTTCACCAAATATCCATATATACCTATATATATATATATATATACCTATATATATATACATGCATTTGTGGGCCGTAATAGCTCACTCCTACAAAAAATTTCGCAATATGAAGTCGAAGTACATTCATTATTATGACACACTATAACGCCTTCAAAAGGAACTGAATTGGGTTGCGCAATGTTCTTACGTATGTAAAATTATATGGTACACACATAGATATTTCTCTGCGTTTTACATGAGCATATTGCATTTATGTATGCATTTGTGTGTCTGCATACCATTGAACTAGGGATGTGCATAGAACTCTTAAAACGTGGAAATCTCAAACACCAATCACTTCTCTAGAATAAAAAGTGCATGAGCATATACTTCATATACATACACATACTTAGCTAACTCAGGCTGTGAAAATTATCGCTCTTGTTCCTATCTCTTGCTATAAAATGCATTGAAATTCACCTCGATCGCTCTCTGTTTTTCAGCAATATTCGTTGTGATTTTGACATTGCTTTGACTTCCACTTACACATTCATATGTATGTACATGTACAAACGTCGTAAATATATACTTACATACATTTATGCATATATTGTATATGTGTATATCACTTCACGTCGCTTTCTATAATATATCTACAACACGTCATTACCTTACCTTTGACCAACAGCATAATTTTGCGAGGCGTTTTCAGCTTATCAACCATGTCCTTTAAGGATTCGGCACCGATCACTTTGGTTCCTTTAGCTTCGTTGCTAAGGAACTCTTTAACCTTAGTAACGGTGCGATTATACGCACAGACCACAAAGCCCTTTTCATCCATGTTCAATATGAGGTTTTGGCCCATAACGGCCAGGCCAATTAATGCAATATCGGCTTTGCTGCAGAAAGGAAAGCAGTAAAAAGTTGAAGGTCAAAAATAGCGGCATTAAGAATTACTCACCCGTTCATTTTAATATATGTATTTGCTAATGCTTAAGTTTCTGCACATGTGTACAACTAGTACCTGAAAACTTCTATGTTGTTTCGTTTACGGTCACGGAATGAAACTGCCGGTTTTTCTGTTCTTAAAACGATAAACGTGTAAGACAGCGACAATAACGAAAGCTTTGGCCGAGCTTTTGCAACGTAAAGTGGCCTCAAACTAGCTCTCACACCCACTTGAGTAGAGGTGGAGAAACATCGATGTATCAATGTTTTTAATTTTTTTAGAACATCGATTGTTTCTGCCGACTATCGATGTTTCTCGCTTACATCTCTATGCAAGTGAAAGTTCGATCTTCTCAAGCAGACGCGATTAGAATCTTGAGACAACATCTAGAAAATTTAAATAAACCGGAGGAATGTGATCCTCTCTTATATTGGAAGGTAATTCCGATATTTTAAATAATATAACAATATTAATTATAAATCATATTTTTAGATGAAAACAGAAGGCATGATGGCGTTTAAAAGCACAGCACAAAAATATTTATGCGTTCCGGCAACTTCATGTGAAGCAGAGAGAGCTTTCAGCAAAGCTAAACATATAATATCTGATCGTCGTACTCGCCTAAAGCCGAACCACTAACCATACAACATGTTGTATGGTTAGTGCCTATACCAAAGGGTGAAAATATATACAGTTTAGTGCGAATGTATGTAACAGGCAGAAGGAGGCGTGGCGGACCCCACAAAGTATATATATTCTTGATCAGCATGACGAGCCGAGTCGTTCTAGCCCTGTCTGTCTGTCCGTATGAACACCTGGATCTCAGAGACTATAAGAGGTAGAGACACCAAACATTGCACAAAGATGCGTTATGTGTGTACGTAACTACCAAAATTCCAAGCATTACGGAAGTTATAAAAAAAAACACGAATTGCGGGGGAGTGGGGGTGTATCAAAATAAAAATAACAAACTTGACCTGCCTAGGACTTAGGGGAACCTCGATACCAAGTTTGGTTATTCTAGCTCTTGTACCTTCTGAGATCCTTGCGCTTATACAGACAGACGGACATGGCTATATCGACTTGTCTTGTCATCCTGATCAATAATATATAGACTTTGTGGGGTCTACCACGCCTCCTTCTGTGTGTTACATACATGCGCACAAAACTAGTATAGCCTTTCACCCTTTGGGTACAGGCTATAAAAAGCGGGAAAAAAGCTTTCACATATCTAACAAATCCAGAATTCCCGCAATTCCAAATTTTTTGCCGCAATAGGCCTTACAAAACAGCCAGATTTGACCGAGAAAAAAGGAAATTGGCAGCCCTGTATCCATACGTCTGTGCATGCGCAGTAGTACTGGACGATACTTTGTAGGGTTGAAAAAAAAAGTAAAAAAAAATATCGATGTTTCAGACAAAACATTCATAACAAAACACTAGTAATACAATAAACAATGAATATTTATTCATGTAATTATTATTGATATTATGTAGCTAATTATTAAGTATTGCTTTGAGCTATTCTGCAATGAAACAATTTATCCATTTCATTTCATAATCAAAATCTGAAAATGTTTTAATTAATTAATTAATACCTTAGCATTATTTACATTTATTATTTTATACTTTTTGGTAATGATGTAATTTTATGTTTAAATTAGACTATTGCTTTTTCCACTAAATTCCGTTTTCTTTTGAATTGTATATATAAATAGATATGTTACGCTTTCGATGTTTTTGTATAAACTTCGATGATCGTCGATGTATCGCGTTCAAAAAAACATCGATGCATCGATGTTATGATATTTTTTAGACATCGATGTTTTATTGCCGGTGTTTGATGTTCTTTACTACTTGTTAACTGCTGAATTTTTATTTGTGTATGTTATATTTTCTTTTGTTTTTGTTATATTCCTTGAATTTGTAAAAATATTGTTTGTTTTGAAACCTTTTCAATTTAACAAAAAACCTTAGCTTTTTAAATAATATGCCAAATCAAAATGAAGTCCCCTATGTTTAAACATCAATAGAACCTTTTTAAAAATTCGTTAATAGAAGTGCGATGAATCGATAAATCGATGCTCGTCCGTTAAATCATCGAAACATCAATGTTGGTAAACATCGATGGTTTTCCATTTCTACAGTTCAGATTAGGGATGGGCATCGATATGGCAATATCGATATAATATCGATTTGATGATGGAAAATTTAAGTAAAATCCGATATGATATTCAATGCGGTGGTATATATCGAATGCATCGATTTTTATTACGATATATCTTCTCATCTCTGACATTATTTTCCCCGCTTTTTATGTATGTACTTCGTAAAGCTTTTTTGATTGCGCACTTCAAATTATGCCAAAGTATGTACATTTTAAACCTTTATGTATATACTTAAATATTTAGTGATACTTTTTTTTTTTGTTTCTTACAGAATCACCCAAAAGCAATTTTGGCAATTTTTCACAAAAATTGATTCGGTATCTGCTCGGTGCACCTTATGCAAAAAATAGTGAAAACGGCTGGTAACACAACCAACCTAAACGCACATGTGAAAACGAATCACAAAGGCGAAACGATTGGGGAGGGCTTGAATGTGCAGCCTACAATTGGAAAAGGTTTTCCTGCGGTACTGCGTAGGGTGGGGCATTCAGCTCCATAATATTACGGCTGTGGTGATAGACAACGTAACAAACATGACAAAAGCTGTGGGTGACCTTTTCGGGAAGCAAATGCACTTGCCCTGCGTAGCACACACGCTCAACCTTGTAGCAAAATGTGCATTGAGTATTGAATCTGTCAAGCCAATAATTACAAATGCTCAACGCTATTGAGTTGACAACAGCAGAAAAACGTTTTGCTCTTGCTACGCCCACTGGAATCCGCCACAGGGACCCGAAAAGTCGGTCAGAACTACTGTACTGCCAGTTTAGTAATCCCGATAATCAATAAAATGCAGGACGACATTGATAACTTAATTTTAGCAGACCAAATAGCACAGCAATGTCGTCGGACTATACTGTTGGAAATCCAAAAGCGATTTGGACAAATGGAGCAGGTAAATAAAAACTTCTTAAAAAACACTCGGCTTCGACTTTCTTATAAATCTGATTTCGAAATGAAATAAGAAAATGTTTAAAAGTATAATGTCTGAATTTCAGGTCTCAATATTGACAACGGCTACAATTTTGGATCCGCGCTTCAAAAAGTATTTTTTTAAAAACAAGCTTGTCGTAGCTGCAGCTATAAAAAAAAGCTGCCAAGTACGGGATTCTTGGATAATACCAGTAACATTGACCTTTTGGATGCTGAATCATATGAAGACGTTGTTGGGGGTGATCCAGGAACTTTTTGGAAAATGTTAACTACGCTACAGAAACAACAAACTCCAAGCATGAATGGTAGGGACGAAGTGCCGCATTATCTCGCTTCACCATTGGCGGACCATAAATGTAATTCCTTAAAAATATGGAATTATGATAAGGATACATATCCAAGCCTTTTCAAACTGGCCTGTGAGTTTTTGCCTATTGTCGTCACTTCCGTACCGTGTAACCCCGATCCGAAACCGCTTAAGCCCCGAAAAGCTATCACAAGCACTTTTCCTTGGCAGCTTGCCGAAAAGTGATTGGAAATTTTAATTTCACCTTTTAACCTAAAATGCATAAATGGATATGCGGGATATTTGTGTTTCAAAATTTATTAAATTTGACTGCACCGAAGTGAAAATAGTTCCTTCTTATAGCCTGGGACCAAAAGGTAAAAGGCTATACTAGTTTGAATTTGATCTCTACTGAAATTTTTTCATTACAAATATTTTATGTTCCTTATTATTTTTGTAATTTAATCAAATAATTAATTTGTTAAACTTTTGCCTTCATTTATATACATATATACATTTGTTTTTACTATAAACACCTAACATTTGTTGCTAAAACAACATATTTATTAAAAATATCTTTTATTTCATCATTTAAAAAAATTTAGCTGTTGAATATCGATATTTATATATTCATGCGAAATCGCCGATATTTGACATTTTCGATATGATATTTTGTCCGATATAAATATCGGCATTTTCTTGTCGATATTCATCCCTAGTTCAGATGTACATATTTTGGTAGGTATTGGAATATGCAAACAAAAAATACAGAATTAAGCAGGGTGTTATTTTGGAATTAAAAAGACAATCATAAACATTTATTTTTTTAACGTATGTGTGCTTAAGCTGACTTTAAAATATATTAGAAATACCGATACCATTCCGTTATCGCCAAGGTGGCATCTCTAGGTGTCATAAGTATTTAATAAGTAAACAAAGAAAATGAGGTAACCACGACGCATCAGAGGTGACCATCAATGACTATAAATATTCAATTTATGCAACGGGTAAGTGTTATCATTCGAAGATTCTTACATGCAATGAATAAAATAACTTAGGTTATAATAACAAATACAACTATTTAGATAAATGCTTGCATCCATACTCAATAGGTCAGATATACATACATATGTATATGAATACAAATGTATGTACATACATACATACATATGTGCATTTATCATAAACGCTTTTTAAGTTAAGTATCCATTGCTCTGTTCTGTTCGTTTTGACCTACCAGTTTATGTATTAATGCAAGACCACCTACAGGGCAGCGAAATTAAACGCGAGTTAACGCAGATGTATGGCCGTCGGAAAAAGTTTATGGGGGCTCTCAGAATCCTTTCCTCGATTTTAGATGGGACTATCCGTAGGACATCGGTGGATTAAGAAGAGGATTTGCACTGTTTTACTGTACATAAGCCTTTAATACAAATCCACTGTAAAATTAAACTTGTGTTTGTTTCGAACTGAAAACATACATATGTATGTACATAGATTGGCTCTTTTATTGAATACGCTAAAATGTTGGTTTAGCAACATCTTACCCTCTAGAGTCTACACCAGCGTTCGGCACGAGATTTTAAATCGGGAGCTGTACAACAAAAGCTACCGCTAAGATTCTGAGCAAATTCTACTGAAAATCGACGAACGACACTCTGTATAGTTTGTTTTTGCATCAGTCTGCTTGTGCGACTCGCTGGCGACAACTGCATATATTCTGTTTTTGTAATTCACTCGCGATTGGTCATTTGCTTGTGCATCTGGATAGCGCCACTTACCAAAACATAACGGAAAGAGGCCTGTGGGCCCAAAGAGCAACTACGTGCCCACCGCTGCTCCAGACCTGCTTAGCTAGTGCAACTATGTAAGTGTCAAGAAAGTGGTCAGGAACTTCAAGTGCTGCGCAGTGCCATATTATCAATATTACAATGTACTGGTGCATTGTGGGCAGAGAAACATGGGACTTATGTACGTTTGTATGAAAAATCTACAGTTTTCATCTGATTACCTTTAAACTTAGTTTGTATACTCTCAGAACAATTCCAAGAAAAACTGTATACTTGGTTGATATTATTTTGGGGCCTAAAATATGGGAGTTTTCCTGTAAAAAAAATGTTGGGGCACAAAAGCAAACCGCGTCAACAGCCCACAGCCCACACGGTAAAAGCTAGGATGCTAGGATTTGGGCTCAAGTATCCTATCATGGTGTAGATGAGCACTAAGAAGGGGATTTTGGAAAATTCGAGCTCCAAAGGGGGGAAAAGTAGCTCCAAAGTTTGTTTGAAAAATCCGCATTTTTCAACCGATCGACTTAAAATTTAGTTTCTAAAATCAATTAAAGAATACAAACAAAACTGCATATTCGGTTTTTTAAATTTTTTGTTGGAGCTTGAATTATTGGGGTTTTCTTGGGGCACCAAGGGAATCCGCGTCAACAGCCCACAGCCCAAACGGTAAGAGCTAGAAAGCTGAAATTTGGGCTCAAGTATCCTATCATGGTGTAGATGAGCACTAAGAAGGGATTTTGGAAAATTCAAACTCCAAAGGGGGGAAAAGTAGCTCCAAAGTTTGTTTGAAAAATCCGCATTTTTCAACCGATCGACTTAAAACTTAGTTTCTAAAATCAATTAAAGAATACAAACAAAACTGCATACTCGGATTTTCGAAATTTGTGTTGGAGCTTGAATTATTGGGGTTTTAATATTTATTCACTATTTCAAATGAAAAGTTTGTGTTTTAAATTTAGTCCGATCGATTTAAAATTTGGACAATGTAATCTACGTAACTAAATCTACAACTTTGCATTCAAGGATTTTCAAAATATGCATTTTACAAAAGCAGGGAGAACAAACAATACAAAATATCAAACAGTTGGGGACAACTAAGTAGCAACACACACACACATATATGCAAACAGCTGTTCGTGTAGTTGCGTGCAAACGATTGAAATAGCCAAATCAAAATGTGAGACACTAATGTGTGAATGTCCATAGATACATATGTGCACATCTATGTACATATGTATCTACATATGTATGTATGTATGTAATGCTTGGAATTTCGAAACCAAATTTGGTAGTTACATCCAGTTAGTGATTATGTGTCCGTATGCGTTTCATAATGATAGCTCAATGTTGAAGGAAGTTATAGCCATAAATATAGTCTCTGCCGAAGCTCTGCTCGCAGCTGTTGTTGTTGTGGCTTCTTGGGTTCAACTTTGTGCTGCATACATACATATGGACAAGTACACAAACACGCATAGACACTACAAGTATTCTGATGTAAATGTGTGCTGTTGAAATTATACACAAACACTTATGTATATATGCATGTGTTGAATATTTTATATTTAATTAAATTAATTAACAATTTTTAAATACATTTTTTTTGGTGGTACAGGGTATTTAAGAGTTGAGCCCCCTCGACTTTAGCATTCCTTTTTTGTTAAATATTGTTTGGGAGTTGGCACAGTGTATTTCACTGTTAGGCTTGCTCGAAAGAAAAGCTGTAAATACTTGGAAAATTGTCGTATAAAGATTGGAAATGTCACCAGCAGAATCCGCTTTTCGGTTATTTCAAAACACGGAAAGTGGTAAGGAGTGTGTTTTGTGCTTAGAGTTAACGAAATCATAAAAACGACGGGGATCATAACGAAAGTTTAGTCGGAAACGATTTAGATAGTCTTTATAGCGTTCAGTGTTTACTAAATTGGTTTGGACCTAGCGACAGAGTAACGAGAAAAAAACTACATTTGATCCAGATTTTTTAAATTTTTTCAGGTTCATTTCATTTTTTAGGTTTGCGCGAGCTGAAAAATGTAACAGACAGAAGGAGACGTTGTAGACTCCACAAAGTATATATATTCTTGATCAGCAGACGAGTCGATCTAGCCATGCCTGTCTGCGTATGAACACCTGGATCTCAGAGATTATAAGAGACACTAAATTTTGCACTAAGATCCCTTACGTGTGTACGCTGTGCAAGTTTGTTTTATTATTATTTCTCCACTTGCTTGGCTTAGTTAAGTACCGCGTAAACCATAGGGGACCACGGGAAGGGATACAAGACAGCCATGGAACACAAACATCAAAAGTTCCGTACAATGTTCGGTATAATCCCTATTGTGGCATCGTCCAAATTTATGCATAAATTCAAGACTGACATCATATAATTCATTAAAGGATAATCGCATTTACGGAAATTGCGTTTCCCCTGTTAAAATAATGGAAGGTCTTAATATAACACGTGTTGAGCTCGAACAGAATTTGCAGTGTCGGGTGGTAGGGATCTTCGGGAGTACATAGAAAGAGGGTTGATAGTTGATACATTGTATCTTGGGCTATCATCCACAAATTTGAGACCAAACATTTTAGCACGGTAGTACTTGAAACACTTAATGTAAATGTACATATGGCTGCAACTTCCTGTTAAATCGGCCTATCATGATGAAACTTGGCATATGGGCACATAAACTGGATAGATTTTTCAAATTTCAATGAAAAATTGCAATAAATACGTGAGTAATAGAAAAGCCGTGATTTCGGTGGAGAGGGGGAGTGAGAGAAATTCCAAAATATAAATTTTCTGTGTATATCATCGTTCCCAAGCAGTGCCTGCAGCTGTTGTTCTTTATGCTTTATACAGCCACACGGTACATACATAGACACAAACAAACACACATAGACACGCATAATTATTCTACTAATCCATATGTACATATTTTGTTCTCGCCATGCATAAAGTTTCTTTTCGTACATAATATTTGTTGAATTGAAGGAACAATAACCTGTTTTACCATAGCTTTAATTGCACTGCTATCCTACTCACAAACAACAGAAAACGTTGGTTAGGGATACGGCATTGTGGCTATTTCGTTATTTACTTGCTAACGGCTGTTTGTGCGATTGGCATGCCAAACCCAAAGAGCCCCACTCCTCCCTTTTCATTCAAAAATGCACCCATTTGTAATTGCTTTTAACAATATCAAAGAAACGATTTGTTCCATGTATTAAAAACAGAAAATGATGTACGTACATTCTGTCTGGCTCATACACAAGCATGAAAGTTACTTTATTTAATATCTCTTGCTTTTTAAACAACGGTTTTGACTGAATTGATTTTTGGCCTTTTACGTTTATGCCATAATTATCTATAGAATAAAAAAAAATCAACTAAGTTGGTTGAAAATTTTGGGCAGCAGATGGATACAGACGCTTTTTTCATTTTGTTTTTGATATAAAGATATATAGAACTATACTTAGTCACTTAGTTAAGCATCTTGTAGGGGTTTAAGATTCCATTAGGATCAAACATATTCTTCATATCACGCATCCAGCTTATGGCCACTGCATTTTTTGAGTACTTTAAATAGTCCTTCTTAAGAAAACCGATGCCATGCTCCGCACTGATGCTGCCTTTTAGCTTTGCTGTATATTCGTATACAAAGGGCTCGACACACTTGTAGATTTTGTCGTTAAACTTCTCACACGAAATATTTAAATGCAAATTGGAATCGCCCAAATGTCCATAACCGCACACAACAGTTGCCAGGGGGCCGCAGCGCTCGCGCATTACGTTGACGATGTTATAAAAGTCACGTAGCGGAAGCGAGATATCATACTTGAAGCAGAAGCTTTTCTCTATCAAGCCTAAAGGCACCATCTCTCTTATTTTCCATAGTTCCTGCACCTTACCCGGCTCTGCAGTAATGGTCCCATCTTGTATTTCTCCTTTACTCATGCCCTCTTGAATAAATTCGTTCATCTTTTCCTCATCGTGCATGCTGTTGCTGCCTAAGGTCTCAATAAGCATATAAAACGGGTAGCCTGAGATGGGGGAGCTATATGTTGGGGAATCACATAGAATTATTCTCCTACATTGAAATATCGTAAATATTTGATTACTTGAGAAACTTGAACTGGTCCAGAGCCGTGTTTAGAGCCCGTTCATCAATCAGCTCGCAAGAGCTAAGAATCTCCCCGAGATTTCGCTTGGCACTAACGAACGTTTTTAGCACGTCTTCAAAAGAGTTCAGTCCCAAAAAAGCTACATTGACAGCTTTGGAGGTATGTGGACAGAGCATTGCCAGCTTCGTTACAACGCCCAACGTGCCTTCTGATCCAATAAACAAATGCTTCATATGGTAACCGGTGTTATCCTTCTTAAAATCAGACATGAGGTCCAACACTTGCCCGTTGGCCAAAACTGCTTCTACGCCTAGCACCGAGCCGTGCAAGTTACCGTAGCGCACAACACGCACTCCACCAGCGTTGGTGGAAACATTGCCACCAATGTGACAGCTCGCCTTGGCGCCCAGATCTATTGGAACTGTGAGTCCTACTTCACGGGCCCGCTGATCAAAGTTCTCTAGTATACACCCCGCCTCCACCACGGCAATGCCAGTCACTTCATCCACTGAGATCACCTTGTTAAGGCGCTGCATCGAAAGTACGATCTCATCACAAATAGGCACCGACCCACCCACGAGACCAGTATTGCCTCCTTGCGGGCAGACTGCCAGCTTGCGTTCATTGCAGTGTCGTAAAATCGCAGAAACTTCAGCAGTACTACCGGGTTTCAGCACTAGCTTGCTGTTTCCTGAAATTTATACAATGATTGGATTATGCAGACTGAAACCCATGCTTAACTGATGACTCACCATATATGCGCTTTAGAAAACAGGTGTTGTAGCCTTCTAAGTCATCGGTAAGAACCTGGCTCTTTCCCAGAAGTTGTTCGAAATAAGCCACATCTTTTTCATTTAGTGTAGAATAATTGCCCCTCTGTACATTGTCTGTTATCTGTAAAGGAACGGGATATTTATTGTTGAGCTTTTCGCTTTACATTTATATTTACGATGTACTTTACTGCCCTATACTAAGTTGTGAAATTAACCTAATGAAAGATATAACATTTTATCAAGAATATACCATTTGCAAGAAAACAACAATTAAATGTTGAAAACGTACAACGCAAATGCTTGAGAAGCGCATCTGATCTCTGTACCATTAGGATGTCACGTAAGTGTGTATTTGATATTTCGGGTCTTTTTATATACAATTACAGCTTTCGCTATCTTCTAATTCACAGCCTGTAGGCCAAACACCTGGGTCCCTGTGACGCCACCAGTCGCCCTGGTCTCCCTCTTTTTTTTTTTATAAGATTATTAGCAACTCTTGTACAAGAGTATATTAGGTTTGCGGGAGGTGAAAAATGTAACAGGCAGACGGAGGCGTGGCAGACCCCACAATATATATATATATTCTTGATCAGCAGATAAGTCGATTTAGCCATGTCTGCCTGTGCGTATGAACACCTCAGAGACTATAAGAGCTAGAGACACAAAATTGTAGATTTTCGCCCCTATTCTGATTTTCCGTTCGTATAATCACCTGTATCTCGGAGGTTATAAGACCTAGGATAACAAAATTTTAATCCAAGATGCACTATGTGAATACGCGGCAAATGTTTTTTTTTTGGAATTTCCCTCCATTCCCCCCTCTGCATTGCAATTACTGATTTTCCATAACTCCCGTACGCTCCGTGTACCAAGCTTTATCAAGATAGGCCGATTTAAAAGGAAATTATAACCATAAATGTATTCTTTGCCCAAGCGCTGCCCCGCTGTGTTTGTTGCTGCTTTGCACAAGCACACGCGACATACACAGGCACAAACACGCTTAATTATTCTACACATATATACATACAGAGTATTTCAAAGTCGTATGCGTAGAATATCTATTTGATTTCTCTAGCTCTTTTATAATCTTCGAAATCTAAGTGCTAATAGAAAAACAAGAGAGAACGCTACAGTCGAGCAAGCCCGACAGTGTAATACCCTGTACACAGGTAAACTTCCGTCACTGAGTTATATGCGCCCAAAGCAGCAGCAAAAAGAGGAAGAAGAAGAGCGAACTTGTTGCTGCAGTTTGGGGGGTTTGCACTGGCGAGAATTTGTTTCGCTAATAACTTTTCTTAGAATCGACAGAATTGAAAAAACAGCAGTAGATATTTATTTATAAATTATTTGTGCAAAGTTTGGTTTAGGTAGCATTTGAAATGTGGACGCTATTGACGAAATTCTGTAGCGGGGGAAGGGGGGGAAAATTCCAAAAAATAAAATAAACTCGTCCTTACTCAGACCTAGGAGAATCTGGATGCCAACTTTGGTTATTCCAGCTTTTATAGTTTCTGGGATTCTTGCGTTCATCCAGACAGACGGACAGACGGACGGACATGTCTAGATCGATTTCTCTCGTCATGCTGATCAAGAATATATATACTTTATGGGGTCGGAGATGCTTCCTTCTGTATGTTACATACTTTGCACAAACCTAATATACCCTTTTTACCCTTCGGGTACAGGGTATAACAAGAAAGGAATGCTAAAGTGGAGCAGGCTCAACTCCTAAATACCCTGTGGTACAGGGTACAAAAAAAAGTATTTAAAAATTGTAATTAATTAATTAAATTAAATATAAAATATTCCATACATACATTTACATCAGAATCGTGTCTATGCGTGTTTGTGTACTTGTATATACATATGTATGTGTGCATTACATAATTATGTCAAAGCAGCAACAAATACAGCTGCGGACACAGCTTGGGCCTGGTTATATGGCTATAACTTTCTTTCTAATCAACCTATCATAATGAACATTTGTATACAGATATATAATCACTGACTGGATGTTTCAGTTAAAAATTCCAAGAATTACGGGAGTTATAGAAGAAAAAAAAAAGAAGAGAGAACGCTACAGTTAAGCAAGCCCGACAGTAAAATATCCTGTACTCTCCACAAAAAGGGAAAATTACAAAACAATTAAATTAAATTAGAAGATATGTGTATGTTCAGTTTTAACAGCATACATTTACATCACGTGCCTATGCGTGTTTATATGCGTGTATATATGCAGCACAAAGTTGAACCAAAGCAGCAACAACAACAACAGCTGCGGGCAGCGTTGCCCGTTGTATTATGATAAAACTTGGCACACGGACACATTAGTACTAACTGGATGTACCTACCAAAATTTATTTCAAAATTCCAAGAATTACGGAATTTATAAAAACAAGAGAGAACGCTACAGTCGAGCAAGCCCGACAGTGTTATACCCTGTACCCAGGTAAACTTCCGTCACTGAGTTATATGCGCCCTAGCAGCAGCAAAAAGAGGAAGAAGAAGAGCGAACTTGTTGCAGCAGTTTGGGGGGTTGCACTGGAGAGAATTTGTTTTGCTAATAACTTTTCTTAGAATTGACCGATCTGAATAAAATTTTGAAGAACAGTAGACAATTATATATAAATTATGTGTGCAAAGTTTGGTTTAGGTAGCATTTAAAACGCTATTGACGAAATTCGGTAGCGGGGTAAGGGAGAGAAAATTCGAAAAAATAAAATAAACTCGTCCTTTCTCGGACCTAGGACAATCTGGATGCCAACTTTGGTTATTCTAGCTTTTATAGTTTCTGAGATCCTTGCGTTCATCCAGACGGACGGACAGACGGACGGACGGACGAACATGTCTAGATCGATTTCTCTCGTCACGCTGATTCAGAATATATATACTTTATGGGGTCGGAGATGCTTCCTTCTGCATGTTACATACTTTGCACAAACATAATATACCCTTTTTACCCTACGGGTACAGGGTATAAAAAGCACGAATTGCGGGGGAATGGAGGGGGTGTATCAGAATAAAAAAAAATAAACTTTACCTGCCTTATGGGCTTATGGGTAAGGGTATATTAGTTTTGTGCGAGTGTACATGGCACACACAGAAGGAGGCGTGGCAGACCCCACAAAGTATATATATTCTTGAACAGGACGATATAGCCATGTCCGTCTCTCCGTCTGTATGAACGCAAGGATCTCAAAAGTATAAGAACTAGAATAACCAAACTTGGTATCCAGATTCTCCTGAGCCGGAGAAAGGACGAGTTTGTTATAGCCTGTACCCAAAGGGTGAAAGGCTATACTAGTTTTGTGCGCATGTATGTAACACACAGAAGGAGGCGTGGCAGACCCCACAAAGTATATATATTCTTGATCAGCGTGACAAGACGAGTCGATCTAGCCCTGTCTGTCCGTCCCTATGAACACCTGGATCTCAGAGACTATAAGAGCTAGAGACACCAAATTTTGCACAAAGATGCCTTATGTATGTACGCTATACGAGTTTCTTTTATGTTTCTGATTTTCCCCTTCACTTCCCCCTATGGGGATTTTCCCGTTTTTCCATTCGTATAATCGCCTATATCTCGGAGACTATAGTCCCAGATGCCTTATGTAAATACGCAGAAAATGTATATTTTGGAGTTTCCCTCCCTCCCCCCTCGCCACCGCAAATCGCGATTTTCTCTAACTCCCGTAATTCTTGGAATTTCGAACTAAAATTTTGTAAATGTTATAGCCATAAATATATTTGCTGCTGCAGCGCTGCTCAAGCACTGCCCGCGGCTGTTGTTGGTGTTGCTGTTTGGTTGACTGCTAACATGTTTACTCAGACACGAATATACGAGCATATACATACATACACTCAGACGCAATTGCTTTGTATATGTGCAATTATACACCCTTTACGTGAGTTTGAATACCAAAAGAGGTAAAATCGAACAATTTTTTTTTTTTTTATTTTTCTAATTTTTTTATTTTCTATAATTATTGTAAACATATGTACAGAGTATTTCAAAGTCGGGACACCCGACTTTAGCTTTTTTACTTGTTTTTAATGTTTTCAGTGTCTGCTTTGGCAACCACCGTTTTTATTTTATTCACGACTTATTGCCCACCATGACTGCACCATTTTCTTTGTGCTGCAACATTACAGTATAGGGCGCTGGGCTTGGCTTTGGATTTTGCTTCACTATTCAGTTTGATTCGCTTCGGGTCGCTTATATTCACATAAGCCCCGCCCATCTCAAACCTGCTCATACCCGTGCGCTCCTCATGCAAACTTAACTCACCACGATTTCCTTACCTGTGTTAACTGTGGCTTCGACGCCACACTCCTTACCAACGTACGCAATGTATGCACGGGTTTCAGCTTCAGGGTAGTCGCGTGACGACGCAAATGCAAAAGTGGTTGAAAATTCATAACGCACAATGGTTGTTTATCGGTTTTGTAGTATACCTAAAATTTTTTATAGACTGAAAGCAAAAGAGGTGAGATCTGTGTTAGTATAACAGTTGATTTTCGCTAACAAATTCGACCCACTCGGCGACACACAAGATGCGCCAAGCTTGTTTAATTAATACATAGTTATTTGGAACCTTTTTGAAAGAGGAATGGCGTCAAATATATATATTATTATTAACTTTCGTTTCACTCACTAAATAAGACTTAACTCCGCAAAATGTGATGTTTGATAAATGTAAATTTCTATTTGGGCCAAGTGGCCATCTCTATTGTGCGGTTGTTTTGGATGCTATGTGTTAATGTTAGTGTTTTAACTATAGGTTTATTAATTTGCTAATTAATTAATATTTTCATAGGATATACAAAATATTTTTGATGATGATTATTTGTGTGTGGGTAAATGCCTTTGTCAGTGTTTTTAATCAAATCTCCAGGCAAAACATACGACATTTGAAACCCAAAGAAATTTCTGTGGCACCGAGAATTGGTTGTGAGCCGAAATTTGCGAGGAAGAGATTTCTGTGACACCCCTGTATATATGTGATTTAATAGGTTTTTGAGCTAAGGAACCAATCACATATTATGCTCTGTACATGAAATTGCGCGAGCTGAAAAATGTAACAGGCAGAAGGAGGCGTGGCAGACCCCACAAAGTATATATACAAGTATTCTTGATCAACATGACAAGGCAAGTCGATTTAGCCCTGTCTGTCTGTCCGCCTGTCCGTCCGTCCGCAGAACACCTGAATCTCTGAGAATACAGAAGCTAGAGACACCAAATTATGCACGAAGATGCCTTATACACTGCGCGTCATCAGGTTAGAACACATACATCAGCCAAATATAATTGCTTCTGATTTTGTTGTTGTTAACTTTAACTTTAAGCAACTTTTTATAGCCTGTACCCAAAGGGTGAACGGCTATACTAGTTTTGTGCGAATGTATGTAACATACAAAAGGAGGCGTGGCAGACCCCACAAAGTATATATATTCTTGATCAGGACGATATAGCCATGTCCGTCTGTATGAACGCAAGGATCTCAGCAAGTACAAGAACAAGAATAACCAAACTTAGTATCCAGATTCTCCTAAGACCGAGAAAGGACGAGTTTGTTCATTTTTCCCGATTAACCCCCCCACTCCCCACCTATTCTCGATTTCCTATAACTCCCGTAATTCTTGGAATTTTGAGCTAAAATTTGGCTAACACAGTTAGTGATTATATATCTGTATACCGTATATTCATTATGATAGGTTGATCAGAAGGAAAGTTATAGCCATATAACCAGGCCCAATGCATACATACATACATACATACATACATACATACATACACCAACACGCATAGACACGATTCTGATGTAAATGTATGTATGCATGTATGGAATATTTTATATTTAATTTAGTTAATTAATTAAATTAATTTAATTTAGTTAATTAATTAAATTTAGTTAATTAATATATAATTTATTTGTATAATTCAGTTAATTAATTTAATTAAATTAAATTAATTAAATTAATAGATTAAATAAATTAATTTAATTTCATTTTTTATGGGGTGGTACAGGGTATTTAAGAGTCGAGCCTGCTCGACTTAAGCATTCCTCTCTTGTTTTTATTTTATTTAGTTACAAATTAAGTGGTTTATAATCGCTACAATTTTTAGAATTTTATTTACACATTTTTCATCATATTTACATACTTACATCTTGGACTGAAATTTGGTGCTCCTAGGTCTCATACTCTCCGAGATATAGGTGATTAAATAAACGGCGTTTCCGAAAATCAAAAAAATAAAACAAACTCGTATAGCGTACACACATAAGGTATCTTTGTACGAAATTTTGTGTTTCTAACTCTTTTAGTCTCTGAGATCTAGGAGATCATATGGACGGACAGACATAGATCGGTCAAACCTAGAAGGTTTATGCAACCCTATTGGTAATGCTGGCAACAAAATGGGAAATAATAGTATCGTAGAAAAAGACACAATTTCAATATCAACCGATTTATACAGAAATGACATCAGTTTATAAAATTAATGGGCTTAGCATTATTGAACTGCTTGTGCAAAAACATCGGCATGGTTTATAACGCTATGAAAGAAAACATTAAGGTTCATTAACAGAAAGCGAAAGTTCTATAGGGGATGATAAGATTCTTCTTTGAATAGTTAATGGGTGAAGATCTAGAGATCACTACATCAAACACGAAGTCAAGCAATCTAATGAAGTGGTTAATTATTGAATTGATTTGAGCCAGCAAAAAGTTTGAATAGACAACCTACATGGTGCTAAATCGACCAATGAATATTTGTCAAATTTAAATCGCTAACGACAGCTAACGTTCCAACCTTTATTGAATTTATTTCTTTCAGACCAAACTCAGGATAACTACAATATATTGGGACCTTGCGAACGAAACCATTACCAATCAAAAATATATGTGATATGATTCAAACGTGATACAGTGAAAAATTTATATAAATTTCTTAAAAATTTATTGAAATGGATATAAAGGCCAACATAGATTTGAGTGGATTTGAGTATCCAGACTGTTGGAAAAATAAAGTTAAAATGCAGGGACTATTTTCCACATTTCGGCCACGCAATCTAAATGCTGAAGCCGAGAATGAGTACGTGTCTAAGATGACGTTCTGGAAAAATCTAATTGGGCGATACTGCGAGTTTACAGGAAAAGCTATATTCACACAGCAAGAACTGCAAATTCAGTTTATGCGCGGAGATCAGTTGCCTGCATGTTTGGGCACAGTAATAACCGATATGCTGCAGCAGAAAGAAATCCGCGCACGCAGCGAGTATGAGTACGATCCGCAGAATACCTGGAGAGGCTGGGCCATCAATAAATTTGTGAAGCGACCTCTACTGTGGGGCTGGAGTAAGATTAAGCAAAGTAATATCGTTGAAGATCTGGAATGGGTGTATTTGGATGTATTAGGTGTAAGTTACCTTTGAGCATATTTGACATTATACATACAAAAATATGCAATATCTTCCGCAGAGCCAATGTAATAAGCTTGAAACTCACATATTAGAAAAGAATTGTGGTAAAATATTGAATTTTGAAGCACTTCAAAATCTCTGTAGCTGTTGCCTACTTAATATACACACAGAATCCCTTGTACTGTGCCTACTGACGCTGCAAGCCCGCAAAAAAGTGGGCTTACATTACAAATGTGAAAATCCGACGCGATCAATTCATCTTATTAAAATACCAGGTAAGTATTTAGTATTAATAACCGATATTACATAACTGTCTAACTTAAAACATCATCGCAGCCACAGTCAATGCGGGTATCAGTTTTAGCGAGGAAGATCTTGGCGTCCACAGGCTACAGATGACCCAATCAAGTCTGTTAAAAGAGCTGGAAAAACTCGAAGAGGATATAAGAGTAAATGATCAAAAAGTGCAACTTTATGTTAAAGAGAAGAAAAGGCAAATGGCTAAAACATATTTGCGCAAAAGACATTTGATGGAGAAAAATCACGGTGGGTCGCTCTGATTATACTATTTTATATTTAATATGTAATTTTTGTAATTACAGAGCGACGTAGCATTGCCTTGCACAATATTGAGGAATTGCTATCCAGCGTGGACGAAGCTCGTAATAACGGTGTTGTTCTGGATGCTTACAAAATCGGAGCAAAAGCTTTGCAAAAAGCCCTCACAGAATCGGGCTTGAAGTATGACCACGTCGATGAGGTTCTCGCTGATGTGCGTGATACTATGGAGCAACACAAAGAGGTACAACACACCATATCAAATGGTGTTTCAGATGTAGCTCTAGTCGAAGACGATGATCTCGACCGTGAGTTACGCGAACTTTTAGGCGAAACGACTCAAATTGATTTCCCATCACACACTCCAACTAACGAGAAGCCAGGGATTACAGATTCGCAACTGATTGAAATGCTAAATGGGTTAGACGTAGAAGAAGGTAATTTGTCCGACTTGATTGTCGGTAAGCAGAGTTTACCAAGCATTTAAGAGACTATTAAATGTTTTTAAATATTTGTTTTTGAATAAAAAAAGTGCATTTGCATTTAATAATAAAACTACTACTTACTGCAGCTCTGTCGGCAGCGCTGCCCGCAGCTGTTGTTGTTGTTGCTGCTTTGGTTCAACTTTGTGTTGCATACATACACGCATAGGTACGTGATGTAAATGTATGCTGTTAAAACTGAACATAAACATGTATTCTAATCGCCTATATCTCAGAAACTATGAGATCTAGGGACACCAAATTCTAGTCTGGAAGAGAAATATCATATATGTATGTAGTAAATAAACGTATAATTGTAAGCACAAATGCTGAGCCCAGCCAAGACGGGCAAGACTTGGTAGTCTAATATATTCTTGGACCTTTCACGTATAGTCGGACATGGCTATATCGCCTTGTCATACTGACCAAGAATATTTATACCTTGTGGGTTACATCCACTCCCACTCAACTAATATAGCCTTTTACCCTTTGGTTACGGGACATAAAAATATACACTTAGTAATATAGCATTAAAACTATTTAAGGATACCTGAATATTTATTGTACCAACTGTACATGCGTCATATGTATGGTAGTTCAGTATGTCATGTTAAGATAAGCGGCGTTTGCCCTCGGTCAACAGGTTGCATAATTACGCGATTTGTTGAAAGCAGATTGTAAACGTACACACACACACTTAAACACACGCACTTAAATCTACCTTAACATAAATATGCATGCAGACACAAACATATATGAAAAGAGTATGTTATATCTCTATTAAACATCCATACATACCAAGATACGTCGGGTAATAGAGAAAATAAATACAGACACGCGTCCACCGAGTGAGCAACAAGAGTATCAGCAAAGCACTCGAATGGAATATAACAGAAAGCTCTGTAAACTTTCATATACTTAATCAAATGAGCTGTGTAGCTTGATGGATAAACATATTTACATATTATTTTTACTCACACTTTTAATCTATGTTATTTTTTCACTTATTTTAGAACTATTAAAAAACAATTGTTATTTTGTTATTTATTCCTTGGTGGCTGTTAAAACAATATCAAACTGCGCAACAGCTTGATTTTATCTGCTCTGAGTGTAGGGCCTAGCAATATTTAAGGCGGAAGCCGCGAGAACTTGCAAGCACAAATGTTAATAGAGTGCAAAAGCTTTAAACGTCGACATGGGAACCATTGTTAAGCTTTTTATAAGCACATACCACAAAAGCAAGAATGCTCTACATTGAAATGCTATGCACAAACATGGCTGGAATAGGAAAGTATAACTTTTAGAATTATACAAATTATTTTCGCTTGTTTCGAATTTAAATACCCTTATCTACAAATAAATATTTAATTTTGTATATTCTTAATAAATAATTAAACAAATTTAAACAATAGAGAACGCTACAGTCGTGCAAGCCCATAGCAGAAGCAAAAAGAGGAAGAAGAAGAACGAACTTGTTGCTGCAGTTTGGGGGGTTGTACTGGAGAGAATTTGTTTCGATAATAACTTTTCTTATAATTGACCGAATTGGATAAAACTTTAAACAACAGTAGATAATTATGTGTGCAAAGTTTGGTTTAGGTAGCATTTGAAATGTGGACGCTATTGTCAAAATTCTGTAGCGGGGGAAAATACAAAAAAATAAAATAAACTCCTTTTCTAGGAGAATCTGGATACCAACTTTGGTTGTTCCAGCTTTTATAGTTTCTGAGATCCTTGCGTTCATCCAGACGGACGGACATACTGATTCAGAATATAGACTATACTTTATGGGGTCGGAGATACTTCCTTCTGCATGTTACATACTTTGCAAAAGCAGGGTATAAAAACAATGAACAGCACACCATCAAATGTAAATGATTATTAGTACCAAAATCATGAAATTTGTTAAATTAAGAGAATGTAATAACCCAAGTATCCTTTCATAGTGTAGGCTGGCGATAAGAAGGGATTTTGGAAAATTCGAGCTCCAAAGGGGGGAAATCGAGCTCTATAGTTTGTATGAAAAATCTACCGCGTCAGGAAGCTGAAATTTGGACTCAAGTATCCTATCATAATGTAGGTGTGAACTAAGAAGGGATTTAGGAAAATTCGAGCTCCAAAAGGGGGAAAACGAGCTCCAAATTTTGTTTGAAAAATCTTCAGTTTTTCACCAATCAACTTTAAATTTGATTTTTATAATCTATTAAAGAATACAAGCAAAACTGCATACTGGGATTTTAGAAATTTGTGGTGGACCTTGAATTATTGGGGCTTTAATATTTATTCACCTTTTTAAATGAAAAGTTTGTGTTATAAATTTTTTCCGATCGATTTCAAATTTGGGGACTGTAATCTACGTAGCTAAATCTACAACTTTGGATTTTTAAGGATTTTCAAAATATGCATTTTACAAATGCAGGTAGAACAAACAATACAAAATATCAAACAGTTGGGGACAACTAAGTATACACACACACACACACAAGCGCTCTAACTTCCACGCTGAAGCTGGGGCCAAACCATCGAGGAACTTGGTGCAGGCCACGTACCCACGCGAGGCCCCTACAGATGCCGGCGCATCTTTGGAACAAAGTGGCAGGTGGCCAGTTCCAGGCGCCGGCAAGACAAAGCCCAAGCCCTGCCAAGACGCACTCGTCCGGAGGCGATAATAATAAAGCAACAGGAAAATCTTTCATACAGCGAAATTCTGCGAATGGTGACCAGGCGTACGGACAATAAGCTACAGGAAGTTAGCACTAACATTAGCAAAGTTGGCAAAACGCGGAACGGCGATCTTCTGCTGGAGCTAAAAAGGAGTAGCACCGAAAGCGCCGAGAAATTAAAGGAGAGCTTAGGTCAAACTTTAGGTGATAACGTCTCAGTTCGGACCCTCGTTCAGGAGCGTCGATTTGAAATAAGGGACCTGGACGAGCTTGTTGTTGCGGATGACGTTCGGATGGCAATTGCTACTTAGGCCGGTATTGACCCAGAGTTATGCAGCATCAAGAGTCTGCGTACCTCGTTTGCAGGCACGCAAACTGCCGTCATTAGCCTACTAGGTTCACCTGCCGAGAAGCTACTCGCGCTTGGCAAGCTTAACATCGGTTGGTGCAGCTGCCGTATCAAGGAGCGCGAAACTGCCCAGAGGCGCTATCTGTGCCTGGCACTAGGCCATATAGCAAGAAATTGTAGGAGCAATGCAGATAGAAGCAACTGTTGCTTCAAGTGCGGTGCAGTCGGTCACAAAGCTGCCCAGTGTAGCGGGAATCCGCCGTGCTTCCGGTGCAGCAACAAAGGGCTCGCCGACATGGCTTCATGGCTTCGTGCGGGCTAGAATCGGCAACTGCTGGGTGTATAGCTGCTACCTGGCCCCCAGTTTGCCTCTTACCGAATTTTCCAGAATGGCATGTCTAGCGATTGACGCCAGGAGCCGCAACCGCGTGGTCATTGCGGGCGACTTCAATGCTTGGTCTGTGGAATGGGGCAGCGCCTCGACCAACGCTAGAGGCAGAGTGGTTATGGAGGCCCTTGCAACGTTGGACATCGCCCTGCTAAACACGGGATCGAGAAATACGTTTAACAGAGCTGGTGTTGTCTTCGTAGTTGGCCTAACGTTTGTCAGTAGCGCACTGCACCGATCCTGCACGTGGAAACTAGGACTCGACTACTCCGCCAGCGACCACGAGGCCATCTACTGCGAGATTGGAGCGAGGTCTAGCCTTCTACGCAGCAGCATTCCCCCTAACAGAATGTTCCGCAGCGAGTCGCTTAACACACAAACCTTCGCTGGGGCCCTAGAGGATCTTTGTGCCGCAGGCTCAGCCCAAACAATGGCAGAGTGTATTTCGGCCAGGGTGGAAGAAGCTTGTTTAGTGAGCATGAGTGTCCGCAAAGCAAACCGGCGCCAGTTTACTGGTGGAGCGAGCAAATCGTTGAAGCTCGCAGAGCCTGTCTCAGAACGAGGCGACGCTACCAGCGCTCGAGAAATACACCGGAGTTCCAAGCACTTCAGGAGGACTACCGATATAAAAGGAGTGTCCTCAAGCGAATAATAAAAGAAAGCAAGAGGCGCTGCTTCTTGGAGTTATGCGACACAGCTGATCACGATCCATAGGGCAAAGCCTACCATATTGTGGTGAAGCGCCTGGGCCTCAAGGCGTCATCAGTGCCTTCGGACGCACAGTCTCTAGACCGCATTGTCCAAGCGTTATTCCCTCACAGCCTGAACTTGGCACTGGAGAGAGCTGGAGGGCTATCACCTAACCAGTATGGCTTTCGGAAGGCACGATCGACCGTAGATGCCATCAGCAGCGTGGTTAACATAGCTACTGAAGCGATGGCGGGTACGCGTTGGAAAGGAGGCACAAAAAAATACTGCCTCATCACTACACTCGACATATGGAATGCCTTCAATTCGGCTGACTGGAGGCCCTAAGGCACTTCTCCGTCCCACAGTACCTCCTCGCTATAGTGGAGAGCTACTTCGACGAGAGGACTCTGTCCTATGGCACCGACGAGGGAATTCGCTCTCATCACATATCCCAGGGTGTACCCCAGGGATCCGTTCTGGGACCGCTCCTGTGAAATATGATGTATGATGGAGTACTGCGGGTGCATCTATCAAGGGGTGTCCATATTATTGGATTCGCGGACGACGTGGCCGTTGTCACGGTAGCCAAAGATCTGTGTGACGTGGAGGTGACCTGCAATGCAGCGATCGTACAAATTGCAGCCTGGCTCAGCGCTGCCGGACTAGAGCTGACCCCTCACAAAACCGAGGCTGTTCTTTACAGCAGCCGGAAGACGGTAGAAACGGCGCGCATTACGGTAGGCGGGACAACGGTGGAATCGAATCTTGGCGTGATGATAGACACTAGGCTCTGTTTTAGAGAGCACTTAGCTAATGCAAACCATAAGGCGTCGGAGTCTGGGAGAGCGCTAGCACGGATCATGCTGAATACACGTGGTCCCGAACAAAGCCGAAGAGCACTGATAACAAAAGTAGTGAGATCTGTTATGCACCTCAACATTGACCACGTTACGGCAGAGGGTTAGGCGGCGTAGTATTGAGCGCTGGCAACGGCGCTGGGACGAATCCAACCAAGGCGGATGGACGCACCGCTTAATACCCAATATAAGAGCGTGGATCGAGGGCAAGCACGGCGATGTGAACTTTTACACCACCCAGCTCCTGAGCGGTCATGGCTGCTTCAGGAATTACCTGCATCGCTTTGGGCATGACTTGACTTCAGAGTGCACCTGGTGCGGAAATGGAGTTGAAGAAGACGCCAACCATGTTATATTCGAGTGCCCGAGATTTTCGACGAACCGGAGTGAGCTCGTGATCTCACTATGTACTCCTATTTCGACGGACAATCTGGTGAGCCTTATGCTGTCCACCAAGGATGGATGGGAGGCAACAAATCGTTTCTCTGCGGCCGTTATGGCCGAGCTTCGGAAACTGGAGAGAGCCAGAGCGGGCCTGTCAAGGATGTCTCAGCACGTACGACGCAATGCTTAGCGGCAGTTCCGTACGGGTAGTGCTCCATCTTACATCAGTCCACAAGACGATATTTGTTTGCTTTGTACCACATTTGTTCGCAATAAAGTAGAATATAAAAAAAAAACAAAAAAAACACACACACAAACACACACACACATACAAGCAGCTGTTCGTGTAGTTGCGTGCAAACGATTGAAATAGCCAAAGCAAAATGAGACACTAATTGTGAATGTACACACATACATATATACACATCTATGTACATGTACAGATCTTTGTATGTATGTGTGTATGTTCATTCGTCTTGCACTGACAGAGCAAGAAATGTTAATTAATTAAAATTTATTTAACATTTTTATAAGTAATTTTTTCTTTATTTAGTACATTTGGCATTAGGGTTTT